GCCGCTGGGCGAGGGTCCCACATGGCGCGCAGACCTCTCCTGCCGCCCGCTGCTCCCCTCAGCAGTGTACCTCGATAGTCTGCCTGCTCTGCTCTCCCCTCTGGCTCTGGTGAATTCTCTCACCCTCCCGCGCTTCTGACTGTACCCAGTGCTTGTATAACTAAATAAATCTTTAAAAAAAAAAAAAAAGTTTTCATGGTGATGCTTGTTGGGGGCCGCCCTTGCTGAAGCACAGGCTCACAGAGGGAGGGATTGGATGGGCAAGGAGGCAGAGCAGTGAGCGAGCAGGCGACATGCGGCCAGGGCGGCAGAGGAAGAAAGTAGGGGTTGTTGTCTGGCAGCAACTGCTGTCACTAGAGGCTATAAAGACTCTTTAGTTAGACCGTTGTCTTTACTGCACAATTAGGGTTTATGCGGGGCTCCGCCTTGTGCTGGCGCTCTCTGTTATTCCAAGTCCAGAGCTCGGTGGGCCTCTTTGTGGTCACAGCCCATCCCATGCGCGTCACAAATGTTTGCTGGTGACGATGTGGCATGTCTGTGGCCCACGTGGAGCCATCGCTCTCCCTAGGTTCCAGATCTCCATCATGGTGAGACCATGATGCCTTGCAGCAGAGAAACTTGTCACATGGAACTTCTCCAGGGTAGTCTGGAGGAGGGCAGGCCGTCGAAGGGAGAGAATTGGTGAGCCAGACTGAGTGTGGGCTGGGAACAGGGTCTAGATGTGGTGTTTGGAGGTAGGTTCAGACTTCCTTCGCTGCCTTGGTTTTCTGCGGGAAGACAAGGGGCCGGGCCTCTCCTTGCTTAGTAATAGCAGGAATCCCACTGGTTAGGAAACAGCTTTCAACACAGTGCGTTCCTTTACCACACACTTGGCTTTTGTCAGCCTCAGCAAAATGTCCAGCTCGCTTTGTCAATGTCATGAATGTCCTGCTTTGCAACTTGTTATCTTTGCAGAAGGTCATATTAGTAGACCCAAAAGGGGAAAAGTAGGGTGACTAGCTGCTGTAGGTTGTGCCTTCTTGCTTTTGCATTGACCTTTCCAGGCATGTGCCCTGATGATTTTATTGTTATTTTTTTTAAAGATCCATCCATCTGTGCATACAAGAGCTGGGGTACAGGCCAGAGATGTGGGGGGTGAGAGGACTCACCAGAGACAGAGTGGGGAACACAACAGGCAGACCGACTGAAATACACTGCTGAGGGGAGCAGCGGGCGACACAGGAGAGGTCTGCTGTGCCCTGTGGGTAGCTCCCTGGCTGGCCAGGGATGCGGATTGCTTCATAGTGTGGTGCTTAACCCTTTGCGCCACCAGGGAGACCCCCCCACCCCCGATGATTTTAAAGTCAACGTTCAAGTGCAGGTGTCTGAGGGAGGACAGAGATGCAGGGGTGTCTGTCCATTTGGCAAATATTAGCTGCCCTTCTGGTGGGCAGAGCATTGGTGCTGAGGGTGCCTGGACAACCGGCCCAGCCTTGCCCTGTTCACTCGGCATTTGTCGTCACGGGGAAGGTGCACACCAGTCACATCCCTCAGCAACTGTCTTTCTGTGATTGTCTTTTTGGAAGGGAGTATTCTGGGAGGTCAGGGAAGTGAAGAGCTGAGAAACAGAAGGCAGGAGAATGGGCACTGGACCGCCTGGCGAGGTAAAAGACAAGTGTAGGAAGAGAGGCAGGAAGGAGGCCAAGCAAAGAGGAAGCCCCCTTCCATAGCGCAGGGGCTCGCCGAAGCATGTTCCCGCAGAGAGTGGGAGTTCTTAGCCTGAATTCTGTGTCCCTGGTGAGCTGGGGACAGACCTGTGGTGGCTCGGGAAGGGCGTAGGCAACTTTTTTTTTTTTTTTGGTGGGACCCTCGCCGGCAACCGGGAACGAACCGGCGCTGCAGAGGCTGCGGGCAGCCTCGCAGCCCAGCGCTCAACCGCTGCGCCACCAGGGAAGGCCCAGGCAACTTTTTTTTTTTTAATGTGATTGTCCTGGACAGTGTGTCCAAAGAATTCATCCGTTTCTCAGAGGAATTTTTAACCCCCCAAAGGCCAAGGATTGTTCCGTCGGATGCTCTTTCTACCATCTTCAGAAGTGCAGGTCTCTGATTTTTAATTTCAGTTGAAGAGGTGTTTGGGCGGAAGACTGGAGACAGAAGGGAGGGTTGCTTTGTTAGCACGCACGCTCGCCGTCCGTGCGTGAGTGCTGTGTGGGCCGCCGGCCCAGTGCCAGGGCCTGATGTGGTTCCCAGGAACCCGACAGCCGCGACACCTTCTATGACGAGTGGGTGAGGCTCTCAGGGTCCCTCTCAGGGACCTTTCAGTCCAGTGTGGCTGATACAGAGTTAGCTAGCTAGGCGGTAAGACACAGAAACCACGGGCAGTGTGGAAGGTCATGACAAGGTGTCAAAGAGGAGAGGGTGCCCTGACCCAGTCGCCAGCAGGCCTCCGGCCAGTCCGGGTCGAGTGGCAAATCCAAGGCCAGCTCCTCTCTGCTGTTTTGGACATCCAGGCCCAAGAGTCTGACTGTTCCAGAGCTGTGCCCCTGCGCACAGCACGCGCGGCGGGAAATGGAGGCCAGGAAGTGCATGTCCTAGTTCCCCTTGACCACGGCTGAGCGAGCTAGGCTGAGCTCAGAGCTCCTGAGGGCCTGGAGGAGCTGAGCCCGTCTCCTGCCGCCCCCACGCCCCTGTGTTGCCTCGTGTGTGGCTTCCATGTGGGTTGCTTTGGAAGAAGCACTGCGCCTGCCCATGGCGCCTGGAGCACAGGGTGCCATGCCTCCCTCAGCCCGTGGGGACGGTGACAGCCGCCCTCCCCATCTTGTCTTCCTTTCCTGCCCTTTTTTTTTTTTTAAAAAGATTTATTTTATTTATACAAGAGCTGGGGTATAGGCCAGATGTGCGGGAGAGTGAGAGAATTCACCAGAGCCGGAGCAGGGAGCAGCACAGGCAGACTGACGAAATACTCTGCTGAGGGGAGCAGAGGGTGAGACAGGAGAGGTCTGCGCGCCATGTGGGTTGCTCCAAGGTTGGCGGGGATCGAACCGGCGCTGCAGAGGCTGCAGACAGCTTCACAGCGCTGCGCCCAGCCGCCTGTGCCACCAGGGAGGCCCTCTTTTATTTATTTATTTTTTTAAAGATTGATTTATTTATGCACACAAGAGCTGGGGTACAGGCCAGAGATGCAGGACATGAGAGGATTGACCAGAGACGGAGTGGGAAGCAGAACAGGCAGATCTACTGAAATACACTGCTGAGGGGAGCAGCGGGGAGACAGGAGTGGGCCTGCCTCGCCATGTGGGTAGCTCCCTGGCCAGGGATCAAACTCGTGCAGCAGCGGCTACAGATAGCTTCATAGGTTGTGTCTTAACCCCTTGTGCCACCAGGGAGGCCCCTGCCTTTTTTCTTGAAGTTACTCATTCATTATTGCCTGGCCATGGTAGGCCACATTAGCCACGATGTTCTGGGCTATTTCGGTTTTGATGGTGATTAATAGAGACCATGATGTTTGAACAGTTTGCCCTCCTGGGAATTAGAGTCCCCACTTCTCAGATCTTTAATTCATGTAGTGTGTGGGGACTGCCTCATGGAGTGTTTATAGTGGCAAGCTGTTTTTCTCTTTTCAGTGAATTGTGATCGCTGGAGCATTTTGTGCCCAGCGCCCGCCCCCCCCCCCATAATGATAACCTAATGCTTTGGTGTATTTGCTCCGAATTGTGTTTGGAGGCCGGATGTGGCTTGTTACAGTACTGTCCGGCTCTTGCTCTCGTGGGGTCAACCCTCTCCTTAGAGCAACAAACATGACGAGAATGTTCGTGCTGCTCCAAAACCTTCTCTAAGTAAAGGGCCTCAGAGCGCCTCCCGTCAGGAAGTGGTGTGGCTGGTGTCCTTGGAGGAGTGCTGGCGAGCTTTTGTTAGCTTGACTGGGTCTGTGGAAAGACAGCATGTACTCTTACATATTCAAAGTGAGAAATAGGATACAATTTGGGGGCCTCCTTGGGGTCTGGGGGTTGAGTCTCAGCGCTGTCACCCCTGCAGCCTGAGTTTGAGCCCCAGCCAGGGAGTGACTCTCATAGGACACAGCAGACCTCTCCTGTCTCCCCGCTGCTCCCCTCAGCCGTGTATTTCAGTAGATCTCCCTGTTCTGTTCCCCACCCTGTCTCTGGTGGATCCTCTCACCACCCCCCACCTCTGGCCTGCACCCCAGTTCCTCTATGCAAAAATAAATGAATTTTCAAAATGAGAAATAGGAGACCCCTGTAGATAGACCTAAGCCTCTGCCTGTGGAGGTGCTAATCTCCCAAGAAATTTATGTTGCGCCCTTTCTCTTCCTCTTGCCATCAGCAGCCTTTGGTGATCTCTGAAAATGGTTTGCACCTTGACCCGGAAAACCCTGTAGAATCGTGCAAATCAGGAGGTCCGCACAAATCAAGAGGTCTCGTGTGCATTTTGAGAACATTCCTGAAGCTGCTGTCACGGGCGTGCGCAGGCAGTCTCTGCGGCCGCAGTTTGTTCGCTCGTCACAGGGGTGGTGCTGGTAGGGGCGTCCAGGCCCACGGTGGGGCCTGATGCAGCGTCGGTGGCCCGGAGAGAGCTGAAGTTTTACTGCACGCGCTTAAAGGGCAGAGAAATCCGGAACCTCGGGGCTGCAGACCTTGGCCCTTGAGCTCCAGGGGAGCAGAGAGCGCCCCCCTCCCAAGCATCTCAGCGTGCGGTGCACTCTCCTGCCTGCCGCGGCGGTCCCACTGAGCAGGAGCAGAGGGAGGCTGTGCCAGAAGACGAGGTTGCACGGGAACAAGCCACCCCAGAAGACAGTGCAGGAGCAAGTGCAGCCCCGGGTGAGGGGAGTAGCCGCGGGACCAGAAGTGAGCTGCCCTCCGCCCTGCCACCCGCCGAGCAGCGCGAGCCCCGCCTTTTCTAGTGGTTGCTATGGAGAGGGGGCTGTGGAGATGTGTGGGTCCCATTGTGACCTGCCCTGGGTGCAGAGTCCTGGACCCCTGCCTCACTGCGGGGGCTGGCGGGCGCAGCCTTCCTGCGCGCACCTCGTGGGGGCGGGGCGGGATGCGGCCTCTCCTCGGCCCATCTGTCTCGGACCCCGGCCTGCCTCGCCTGGCAGCAGAGCTGTGCTCCCAGGGAGCCGCCCCCTGTTGCTGGGCAGCCTGAGCACGCAGGTGAGCGGTGTGGGGGCAGCGGCATCCTGAGTCTGAGCCTTTCCTTCTCGGCCTTCACGCGCGAGTCCGCCGCCTGGACACCCTCCCCTGCGCCCCGAGCGCCGCGGCCTGTGCGGGTCTCTGGCGAAGCCGGGACGCGGTGCCGCGGGGGCGTGCGGGAGGGGTCCCCAGGTGTTCCAGGTTGATTGTTAGCCCTGAATGCCCTCCGTCCCGGGCTTTTCCCCCGTCGGCGAGACGGCGATCGGCCTGCTGGGCCGGGCCTGTCAGGCGTCGGCCTGGGTGCTTCGTTCTGCTGAGGTGGGTGGACCCGCGGGCCTCTGCCCCGCAGAGCGCCTGTTTGTAGAGAAGAAAGCCCCTGGCAGCCAAGTGCACGGCTGGGTTTTCCCAAACGAAGATTCAGCAGAAGCGTCTCCGTCACCCGCTCTCAGCCCCCGGCAGCAGCGGCCGTGGGAGAGGCTGTGCCCGAGCGGGGGTGAGAGCGGCGCTCGCGGGCAGGCGGCTCTGCACTCGGAAGGCTTTTGCTTGACGCTCCCCTGGGGTGGCATCCAGGGTCTTTCTCAGCATGTTTTCTTTGAACTGGCCTTGCGGGACGTGTGACGCGTAGGCTCTGTGCTCAGGGGACCCTGGTCCGATCTCACAGAATCCAGTCAGGGCTCAGCCCGCCCCCACCGGGTCTCGATCCTGAGATCGTGCCCCGGGACCCACGCTGGAGGAGCAGCTTTTCAGAGGGCGAGGGGCACTCTTCCTGTCCTCGTGAGCGCCGCTGCTCATGGCTCGGCATCTAGAGGGGCAGTGACCAGGCCGCAAGAGTGGACTCTGCTTCCCGGCCCGGGCTGCGAGGGCTGCACGTGCTCCCGGGACCGCCCGTCCCGTCCCCACCCGTCCCCACCCGCCACCTGGCCGCCCTCCGCGTGGCGCGCCCTGGCCTGCTGATCCAGGCCGACAAGCCAGCGTGTCTGGCCTTCGGTGCGTCGTGCGTCGTCAGTAAATTATGTTTCGAGTTTAGGAAACCGTTGGAGCAGCAGGACAGAAAGTACTTGTCGCTGCGCTTTTTTTAACCGTGTTGTTGACATTACGCGCTAGACCGTGGCCGGCCTCCTGCCTTTTTTCCTTCCGAGAGTTTTCTACCCAACAGGTGTTAAGAACCTGTTTATTCCAAGTGCCGGGCGGCAGCAGTGAGGCCGGCAGCTGTGGCCCTGTGCGCTCGGAGCCCCCGGGGGGGGTCTCGCAGGACGGGGAGGAAGGGCGGGTGGGGGTGGGGGCGCGCCCGAGAAGAGACGGGCACAGAGTGCTGTGGGGACAAGCCAGGCCCAGGCCGCGGTGGCCCTGTGCAGGCGCCTCCCTGTCCACTCCCGTTGCTGAGAGAAGCAGAAGGCCTCGTGCTGGAGCAACGCTGCGCCCCAAGAGGGCAGGGCTGGGGTGTCCTCGCGCCCAGTCACTGTTGGCAGCAGCACGTCACCGCAGCTGTCCCGGGAGCCGGCTGGGCGCGTGTCCTCAGCCCGACCAGAGGCACCCACCACCGGCCAAAGGCCGCTCCCCGACACACGGGCCGTGTTTATCCCCACGGGGCGTGAAAAGTGGCCGTTGGGGTTATTTTCTTCTTGATCGCGCCCCGACTTCCTGTCCCGCTCCACCCCCGTTTCTGGCGGCGCGTGTAGGAGACGCAGCCGGGCGGCCCTGGTGGAGGTCGAGGGGGGCTCTACCCGGGCTGGCTTGGGCCCCGCGTCGTCACTCTGCCGCTGCGAGTTCCTGCAGGAGTTGTTGAGCCCCCAGCGGCGGCTCAGCCCAGGCAGCAGGAACTGACGAGGTGACGCGCCGTCTCCCTGGCCTGCGGGAGTGGGGGGGGGGGCAGTGTGCTGGGCGGCCTGGCGCGGCCAGGCCCGGCTCTGCGGACTCGGGGAGCACCCGGCGGGCCGTGGGTGAGGCGCCCCCGAGACAGTGGGCCTGGCCTGCGGCGCCGCTGTTCGTCGTTAAGCTTTACTCGTGATGGTTCTGTTGCCGTTTGCTTCCCATCACTGTCTTAGGAGAATTTCAGGTGGGAAAGTTACAGAACAGGAGACGCCCGTGTGCCTTTGCTCGGGGTCTGTCCACACGCGGCACGCCCTGCACGCGCACAGCAGCCGGTCGCGCGCCCCTCCCGTGCCTCAGGGGTGTCCGGGGGCAGCGGCCTTCTCCCCTCCCTCGCCACCAGCCTCGGCGGGTGCCTCCACCGTCCTCCTTCCAACGTTTGTCCTAGCAGACGCGGTCGCCGCAGCGGCAGAGCTTCGCTAGGGAAACCGCTCCCGAGGCGCGTGGGCGCCGTCCCCTCGGTGGCTGATGAGGCGGCCGCCGTGGCCACCGCGTCACCGGGTCCTCTGTCTCCGCAGACCAGAGGCGAGAGCTGTAGGAGTCGCACCCGGCGGCGATGTCGGCAGAACTGGAGGCCCCGGATGGGGTGGACGAGTCGGAGAGAAAGAGCCCTGGGACCCCCGGAAAGGAAAACCACGCCAGGTGAGCCATCGGGACGCGCTGTCCGCCGGGGCCGGGCCGTGACCAGGACGCGGGGTGCGGTCAGCGTGTCCCGGAGGACCCCGGGCAGCGGCTGCAGTGGCAGGGACAGCACCCGCACCCTCCTGCTCAGGGCTGCCCCCAAGATCTTGCCCCAGGAGCTGGGCAGGCAGGCGCTGGGCTGCTGAGCACCAGGACTTGATCTTTGTCGTCTTAAAACCCTCAGGATTTGGGCGCGTGGGTGTGAGTGACAGCAGGAGGCAAAGCTGAAACCTTTTTTTTTTTTTTTTTTTTTAAAGATTTATTCATTTATTTATACAAGCACTGGGTACAGTCAGAAGCGCGGGAGGGTGAGAGGATTCACCAGAGCCAGAGCGGGGGGCAGAGCAGGCAGAAGGGCCGAAGGACACTGCTGAGGGGAGCAGCGGGCGGCAGGAGAGGTCTGCGCGCCATGTGGGACCCTCCTCTGTTGGCCGGGGAGCAGCCGGGGATCGAACCGGCGCCGCAGAGGCTGCGGGCAGCTTCGCAACCCAGCGCTCAACCGCTGCGCCACCGGGGAGGCCCCAAAGCTGACACCTTTTCTCGTGTCCCCTGGGATGTTGACCCAAGGGGCTTTTCTTTGTGGGGAGGGGCCGGCTTCTCAGGCTCCCAGGGCCTCTGCGTTGTCACGCTCCGTCTCTTGTGGAAGTCCTGCCATTGCAGAGCTTTTTTTTTTGGTAATATCTTGAAATAATTGCTAATTGTAAACCTAAGCACCAGGGTGACAGGAGCCGGCCTTCTGAAGAAGCCCGCAAGCCTGGGGGGCTCTAGGGGTGGGTCTGGACATAGCACCAAAGCCCGGGGTCTGCCTGCAGGTGGTGTCTCGGCCTGGGCCCGCTCTGGCCCGTGGACGCCGTCACGTCACGCAGACCCGGGCCCTGGCTCCACCAGGCCGGCCCTGTCTCATTCTCACCCTCCCCTGCTGGGCCTCCCACAGGTCCAGGGGCTGGGGGGCCAGGTGGGAGGGGACAGCGCGGCCCTCCTGGGGACCCACAGTCCCTCAACAACTGCTCGGAGTCCCTAGGCCCCGGCTTTCCTTGGGGCAGCCGGTGAGTGCTGAGGGGGTTAGAGGTGTCCGTCTCCTCAGACGCCGGGCAGCCAGGGGCGTGAAGCGGCGGGCGTTCGGGTGGTTGAGACGCGCGGCCAGGGTGGCGAGTCGGCCGGTCAAACTGTGTCCCACGTCCTGAGGCAGACTCGGCCGCCCTCCCCACGCCCCGGACGACCTGTGCCCACGAGGGCCTGGCTTCTGGCAGCCTCTGCCTCCAGCTCAGCCAGCGTCACCCGGAGCCAGGAAGGCTGATTCTCTCTCTCACACGTCCGTGTCCCCGCAGGATGGCTGACCTCTCGGAGCTCCTGAAGGAGGGGACCAAGGAAGCACACGACCGGGCAGAAAACACCCAGTTTGTGAAGGACTTCTTGAAAGGCAACATCAGGAGGGAGCTGTTTAAGGTTTGTGGTCGTGAGCAGGGTCGGGTCGGGGCCGAGTCCCACAGGGCAGTCTCTCTTGAGCTGCACCGGGGAGAAGTCGGGCCTCCCCGCAACCCCTTCTCGACGTCACGCCGTGGGTCTCCCGGCTGGAGAGCAGTGACGTGGGGAAGCGGCCGCCCGCGTCCCGCCTCCTCTCGCCGCGCGCGTCCTGTGCAGAAACGGGCCGGCGGGTAGGAGGGCGCTGCAGGCCCACAGCTGTCGCCGTCTCCCCTCCCCCGCCCCCCCCCCCCCACAGCTGGCCACCGCCGCGCTTTACTTCACCTACTCGGCCCTGGAGGAGGAAATGAGCCGCAACAAAGACCACCCCGCCTTCGCCCCCTTGTACTTCCCCCTGGAGCTGCACCGCAAGGAGGCGCTGGTCAAGGACATGGAGTATTTCTTTGGCGAGGGCTGGGAGACGCGCGTGCAGTGCTCCGAGGCTGCCCGCAAGTACGTGGAGCGGATCCACTACGTGGGGCAGAACGCGCCGGAGCTGCTGGTGGCCCACGCCTACACCCGCTACATGGGGGACCTGTCCGGGGGCCAGGTGCTGAAGAAGGTGGCCCAGCGGGCCCTGAAACTCCCCAGCACGGGGGAGGGGACGCAGTTCTACCTGTTTGAGAACATAGACAATGCCCAGCAGTTCAAGCAGCTCTACCGGGCCAGGATGAACGCGCTGGACCTGAGCCCGAAGACCAGAGAGAAGATCGTGGAGGAGGCCAACAAGGCCTTTGAGCACAACATGCAGGTACAGGCGGGGCTGCGGCCCGGAGCTGTTAGGAGAGCGCGGGCGCCTCAGATGGGCGCCAGGAGGGCTCTGCCCTGCCCGACAGCTCGTCTGAGGGCTTGGGGAAGGGCAGCGCCTCCGGCATGGGACGGGGGCGGGGAGAATGGACCCCGTGCTCGCCGCGGGCTTCTGGTCCTCGGGATCGGGTCGCTAGCAAGGGTTGCCCTGTGATGTCCTGCTCGCTCGGTTCAGGGATGTGGACGGGAGTGAGTCCTTTACAAGCCGCCTCTGGAGGGACCGAGCCTGGAGGACCCGCCTGCCCCCGGCACCCGTGGCCGCAGGGAGTGAAGCCCTGGCTCCCCGCGGGCCCGGCTCGTGGCAGCAGAGCCGAGGGCCCTCAGTGGGCCGGCCCCACCTTCCTCGCAGCACTTCCCCTCCAGCTGGAAGTGCCTCAGGGGGCTGGGGGGCAGCCTTTTGCCATCTCCTGTCAGTGCCCTGCTGGTGTGTTGTGGGCTCTGTCTGGTCTGCACGGAAGGCTCAGCGCCGGCATTGCCACGGCTCCCGGGCCCGGGCTGCCACCGTGCGGCTCGTGCTCCCGGGCCAGTGGCTTCGGCCCCTCTGCGTGGGGGGAGTGTTTCTCTGACGGGCCGCCCAGTGATGGCTGCTGGTGCTCTCTGTAGATCTTCAATGAACTGGACCAGGCTGGCTCCTTGCTGGCCAAGGAGGCCGTGGAGGATGGACTCCCCGTGCATGATGGGAAAGGAGATGTGCGCAAATGCCCCTACTACACCGCTAAACAAGACAAAGGTAGGTCTGGCCTGTCCCACGCTCCCGCCTGGGGCCGGCTCGTCAGCCTCTCCCGCTGAGGCCGCGTCCCGTTGGTGCTGCCGTGCAGGTGCCCTGGAGGGCAGCGGATGCCCCTTTGGAATGGCCCTGGCTATGCTGAGCAAGTCCAGTCTCCAGTTTGTTCTGGCCACCAGTGTGGCCCTGGCCGCCGGCTTTCTGGCCTGGTACTACATGTGACGGACTCGCCGCCCCACACGGGCCCGCCCCACCTCCGCTGGACCGAGGGCCACCGCGGGGGACTTTCAGACGCGGGGTCTGACACAAGCAGCAACCAATAAAGCCAGACGCTAACGTCTCTGCCTGTCACTGTCCTCTCTGCGGGCAGACGCTGAGCTGGGCGCAAGCCCGGCCTCTCTGCAGCCCCCCCGCCTCCAGCCGTGGCACTGGGGACAGCCTGCTGGCCGGAACCCCTGGCACCGGCTCTGCTCCTGGAGCACCCACGCCTCCACCCCCAGGCCCACTTGCTGCAATCGTGTGGTGTCGTGTCCGTCCCCTCCCCGGGCACGGAGCAGCCTGCGAGCTCAGGTTGTTGTGGCTCTGCGGGAGGGCGGGGCGGGGCGCCTTGCTTCAGAGGCCCTGGGAACGCCGGCCTGGCGGCCAGAAGCCCCCAAGGATCTGTTCCGACCCGTGTAAACGCTACGGCGTTCAATAAAGAGGACTCTGACTCTGGCGGCCGCCCACCTCCTTCCTGGCGTGGTGTCCCCTTCACGCCGCCCTGGCAGCCTCGCCCGTCCTCCTCGTGCCCCACGGGCCGCGGTCTCCTTGCCGCAGCCCTGCCCTCCCAGCTCATCCGCCCTGTGGCTTCCTGACTCTCGGAAGGGCTTTGGCGCTTTCCCGCTTTGCCCCCAGTAAGGATAAAAAGCACATGCTCGCGTAACACTGCAAAGTCTGAGAGAGAAATGTGAACCCAAGTTGTTTTTATTAATAGGGCTCTGTTAGCTGTCCCGGATCCTGGGATCTGCCCGGTGGAGCAGCTGCCGGGGTGGGGGCCGAGCCGGCCCAGAACCTGCGAGCCTAGGCTGCTGTTCCCCTTCCCGGTCACCTTCAGACCGGAAGCCTTGGGAGCGAGGGTGGCTCTGCCTCTCTCAGGGGAGCAAGGGTGCCCACCTGCAGGCTGGCTGATCCTGGGCTCCCGCTGGGCGCTTCAGCTTGAAGATCCCGCGGGCGGCCGCTCTGGCGTGGGGGGGGCGCTCGAGGACACTCCCCAGCACTGTGGAGCCGACTGCCCGTGCCCAGGTCACGGCTGGGGTTGTCCACACTGGGCTGACTTGCTCTCACTGGGTTCTCAAAGGTCAGCATGGCCCTGGGCAGTCTGGACTGCGTGAGCACCGAGACCCTAAAGATGTACCCCAAAAGAAGGAAGCCAGGCAAGTGAGTGGAGGCCCAGGCAGGGGGGTGAAAGGGCCAATTTAATGAGAAACTACAAACGGAGACCAGCCACGATTCACAGTGAAGGGAGGCCATGCAGTGGCAGTGCGAGACCAGGAGGGGGCAGCAGCAGGGTTCAGCGGGCCACGGGGGCAGGTTCACAAGACAGACCCTCAGGAGACAGTGGGCTCAGGCCCGGGCAGGGCTGGTGTCCCCCAGGGGGCTGCCATGGCTCGGGGCTACGTCTTCCGGTCCCCTGGCCACAGCTGCTCCTGCTGCTGAGCGCGAGGGGACCAAGGCGAGCCCACGGCACCGGGAGCCGGCCTTCCCTGCGGCCTGCCCCAGCTGGGACGCACCAGCCACCGGGCAGCAGGAACCTAGTGTGGCAGAGGGCAAGGCTCCTGGGCATTAGTTCCAGCCCCAGCGAGGACGGGTGCACAGAGGTGTGGGCCGGAACAGGCGCTGGCGGGGGGAGAGGCAAGTTCCTTTGTGGCAAGCGCCGCCCGATCCCTTACCCAGTGACCTGTGGGTATGCTGCCCTCTCTACCTTATCTCAGGTGGCTCCTGGGCATAAGGTGTGGAGTTCCTGAGAGTTCCGAGGGCCAAAGCCATGCCTTCTGACCCACCACTAGTGCCCTGCAAACACACCTAGGCCGCGTGGCCCTGTCCTGCTTGGGTCCATTCCCCGCCCTCGGTCCAGCAGATCAGAAACGACTGGCTACAGGCCCCAGGCCTAGGGAACCCACTACTGCTCCATCTGCTTTTGGTCCAGGGAGTCAGGACCGAACCTGCCCCTGGTATGGAAACGAAGGCCACCGTGCGAGGCGCCCCTTCCCAGCTTGTCCTCCTGGCCACGCCACCCGCAGCAGCCACACGCGCTCGGCGCCGTCCCGCCACCTGCGCGCCCCTGGCCTTCCATCCAACAGAATCTTTTGCCGAAAGAGTCAGATGCTCAGGGTAGGGCGAGTTGAAGAGGACAAGACGTCCAGGGGGCTGGTGGGACAGCTTCCGCCCCCAAGTGGGAGTGGGGAGGCGCCACTGAGTGCGGGGAGCAAAGCACGGGGGGCGGGTGGACAGCGGGAGTCCGTCCCAGCTCCGTCAGCACAGGCGCTTGTACGTGTAGATGTAGGCTTTGCAGCTGGGGCACGTGTGCGTCACGTCCTTGAAGTCGTTGATGAGGCAGGGGATCAAGCAGCAGCCCAGGTCACACCTGAAGCAGACGGAGAGAGGTGGGCAGGCCTGAAGGGGCCGGGCACCCAGGCCCACTCCAGCTTGGTGTGGGAGGCCCGGTCCCCCACTCCCTGCCCCAGGGGCGCCCCCACCTACCCCATGAAGCAGCAGAAGAAGCCCAGCACGAAGTTCATCAGGCCGATCTCATAGGAGATTTTGGTGGTGATGGCCTGCTGGCAGTGGGGGCACACGGTCTGCACGGGGGCACCCTCGAAGATCTCTCCCTGCAGCACTGTCACTGTGGTGGCAGCCCCTGAAGGGACCAGGACTGTGGCCGTGTGGCCCCCAGGGCCTGGGTAGGGCCCCGGCGGGTAGGGCCCCGGCGGGTAGTAGCCCATGGGCGGGTGGGGGCCTGGGGGAGGGTAGAAACCTGGAGCACAAAAGACAGAGCAGACAGGTCACGCTGGCTGGCCAACGCCCCCCACGAAAGATGCGCACGAAGCCCCATGGCCCCCACCCCAAGCTGCAGGTGAGGTGTGGGAGCCGGGCCTTGGGCCTAGATGACCATCCACATCCCGCCTGCCCTCCTGGAGGGTGTGGTGAGAGCCGGGCGCGGCGAGAGCCGGGCGCCATCCCTCCCACTGTCGAGGACATGCCAGGGCTGGGCTGTGTCGGTCGCTGACGCACAGGGCCGCCACCCGTGCTGTGCGTGAGCCCTTCTCTGGGCAGAGCCGTCCCTCGGGGAGCTGCCGGGTGAGCAGGAGCCCAGGCCCCCCAGGGACGGGCCCCTGGCAGGGAGACATCTGCCCAGGCCTCCCGCCCCGTCCCCATCAGCCCGCACCCCGGGGCCCTGCCCCACTCACCTGGAGGCACGTAGGTGCCATCTGCATTCACATGTGGGGGGATGAAGCCAGGCTGGGGCACTGGGTGACCCGGCGGCTCGTAGGGCGGGGGGCCGATGTCTGCAGGAGGCAGAGACATGCCCGGGGGGGGCTGCATCACGGCTGGGGAGGAGCGGCCTGGACAGAGAGGCAGGAAGAGGCGGCTCAGGGCCCAGCTGCAGCGGGAGGGCTGGAGGGAGGGCGCTTCACACCGAGGCCTACCTGGGGTGGATGGGGCTCCGCTTTTTTCCTCCAGAAGGGGGGCTGTGGGGCCCCCAGGATAGGGAGGGGGAGGCTCATTCGACGACATGGTCACTGTCTCCGTGGACCTGAAGGAAAGCCCAGACGTCAGCTCGGCCCCCAGCCCCCCCTTACCGAGGGGCTGCACAAGGCGGGTGACAGCCTCAGCATTGCAGGCGCCGTGCACACAGGGCCCCCTGCCTCGGTCCCCTCCGTGCCGCCCCCAAGCCGGTGGCCAGCGTCCTGGCAGAGTGGTCCGGGGATGCCCCACCCCGGCTGCGGGCAGCTCATGCAAAGCTACCCCCGCAGCTGCGCCCCCACTTCCTGCCAGAGGGCAGCCCTGGGAGGGAGGAAGGACACCCCGCAGGCCAGTCTGGGTGCGGGTCCTGTCTTCCCCTCCCGGTGGGAGCTGGGGCGGCGTGACCCACTTGTGCGGGGACCGGGGGAAACTTTACCTCAAACCCCAGGTGCTCCGGGGGCGGCAGGGGAGGGTCCTGGCACTGCCGGGGGACACCTGCGCCCCGGGAGCTGGGGGGTGGACGGGCCGCGCCCTCAGCTGGGCGGGCGGAACCTGGGCGCCCCCCCCCCACACCCTCTCCCGTCCAGGCGCCCACTCGGAACCACCCCACGCCCGCTCTGCGAGTCCCGGCGCGCCCCGACTGCTCCCCCCAGGCCCCCGCCGGCCCCCCTCTCCGTGGCGCTTGGGAAGGGGGTGCCGTGAGCGGGGCTGAAAAGCCGTTACGCTCTGAAGCGGGGCTCAGTTTGCTTTTTAAAAACAAAGTAAAATGATGTAAACTCAAAAAAGAAAAGCAAAGCCGCGGGGGTGCAGACAGCGCCCGCCCCGTGGGTCCCGGCCGCGCGGAACCCCGTGAGAACTCAGGCAAGGAGGAACTTTTCAAGTATTCATTCACGTGACGCGCGAGCGCCCCAACAGCTGCCGCGGCGCCGCCCCGGCCTGAGCCCGACCGGCCCGCGCGGGGAGGCCGGCGGGGCGGCTGGAGACCGGCAGCGCCGACACCCCGTGTGCAGCCCCGCCGCCATCCTCGGGAGGCCCCGCATCATCATCATCGAGGAGCAGGTCCAGGGAGCAGGTCCAGCGCAGTGGCCGATCCAAGAGTTTTCCAAATTGTTAACCCTTTGCACTCCGAACCATTTTACGATATTTTGATTTAATTTCTTGTGCCATTTCAAGATAAAGCTTCAGGGAAACATGCGTGTCTCCGAACGGTGCGTTGAAACAGCCTCAATTCCCCGTAATCACTAATAAAGTGCAATGTCCCCTGAGAGGGCAGCGCGGAGTGCAAAGGGCTAATTTTCTTTTGACGCTTAATTTTTTTTTAAAGATTTATTTATTTATTTATACAAGCACTGGGCACAGTCAGAAGCGCGGGAGGGTGAGAGAATTCACCAGAGCCAGAGCGGGGAGCAGAGCAGGCAGAAGGACCGAAGGACACTGCTGAGGGGAGCAGCGGGCGGCAGGAGAGGTCTGCGCGCCATGTGGGACCCTCGCCCAGCGGCCGGGGATCGAACCGGCACTGCAGAGACTGCGGGCAGCTTCGCAACCCAGCGCTCAACCGCTGCGCCCCCGGGGAGGCCCTTGAAGCTTAATTTTATCACCAGCAACCAGCGCAGGGCCGGGTTGCTGCCAGCCGTGGGCGAGGCAGCGGCTCCGTCTCTGCCAGCAGGTGGGTGACTCTGTTCCTTTGCAAGAAACGGCCAAGGCCCGAAGCCTGAGTAACGCGGTGACTGACAGGAGAAGCCCGCTCGGTGCTCCCCTGCGCCAGGCCCCGGGGGGAGGGGGGGCGGGGGGGGGGACGCGAGACCCCCATGACAGCGAGGAGCCGAGGCTGGCGCCACCACACGGCTGCACAGCAGGGGGGCACCCCCGGGAGGGTCCGGGGGCTGCCAGTCCATGCTTTCCTCCAGCACAGCCCCTGGGGCGGGCACCCAAGGTCAGGCCTCTTTCTAGAAGCCCGAAGACGGTTGGTTTTTGTTCTCCATGGTGGCGGCGCGGGGTGCCGCAGGGGGGGGCGCTGCCCGGGCCCGTGACGGACGTGTGAGCAGCCGCCCAGTCAGTTAAGCAGAGGCGGTGAAGCTCCAGCTCAGGCACTCGCGGGCACATGTCGCTGCCACTACGGGAAGGAGGCGCATGGGGACCCCGAGTGATCGGGCCTGCGGGGCTCACCCAGCTCCCAGCGGGAGAACACAACAGCCGCCACAGCCTCTGGCAGGGTCTGGCCCGGCAGCAGCGGGGTCCTGTGTGTGCTCCCCCCACCCCACCCCCCCAGCCCCAGCAGAGCTCGTTCACGCGCAGCCAAGGTGAAGCCGCTTGCTCTGGGCCTCCTCAGGTGACTTTCTGGAAGGAAGACAGGCCGGCAGCCCTCCTCGGGGCCCCTCCCTTCCAGGGCCTGCCTGGAGCTCCCCAGTCTGGGAGGCCCCGGGGAGGCGCCGCCCACAGACCCTGGTGACAGCTGCGGGGTCACGTTCCCTGCTCCCCAGAGCCCTCCCCGAGGCACTTTCCGCCCCAGGAACCACGGCGCCGGGACGCCAGCTGGCTTCTGAGGGCCCGTTCCCAGGAGGCCGGCGCCAGGCTTCTGGCCAGCGAGGGCTTCCCGCCCTGCCGGGAGACTGAAAGGTCGCCTTGAGCAGGGCCCGCAGCGTCCCCTCCGTGAACAAAGAGGCGCCGCCCGCTCCAGAGGGGCAGGCCAAACGCTCTGCTGCGGACAGCGCCCCCACTCCCAGGGGCCAGGGCCCAGCAGAGGACAGGCCCCTGGTGCAGCAGGAGGGACTGGCCGCCAGGGACCTCCCGCCACCCCCGACGGCCCCCAGGAGGGAGTGTGAGAACCGAGGCCGGGGTGGGAAAAGCCACGGAGGGTCCTGGCGGCCTGGGGCGTCCCTGGCCATGGACCAAGCTGCCAGGGCCGGCCGTGGATCCCCGGGACGGCGTCACGTGCTGTCCTGCTCTCCCCCGCCCCGGGGGTGGGCTCAGGGACAGCCCGTTCTCAGGAACAGGCCCTCGGAAGGGAAGGGGGACGGCGCGTCCTCCAGGAATAACCGGCCATCTGTTGGCGCGGAGGGCTGTGCGGCAGCTACTCGGTGCCTGGGGCGGGCTGGGAGGCAGCGGCAGGGAGCGAGAGGCGCAGTCCCTGCCTTCCAGAAGTTTGCAGTCAAGCGGCAGGGACAGCGTTCAAGGGCTCACCCAACCCCAACGCGGAGCGTCGCAGCGCGCCGGGCCCGGGCCGCTGAAGGGAGGACAGCCTGTCTCGGGGGCAGGGGACGCCCCCCCGACAGGTGAGGAGGAGGTGGCAGAGCTCGTGCGACCACAGGCAAAGGAGGGGGGACGCGGTAGTGGCCGGTAGGTGAGTCTGGGGCTTCAGGAGGGAGGCCAGGTAACGGCCTGGAGCCCACGTGTGAGCAGCAGGCCACTGGGGGGGGACCCCGCCCTGAGGCGCGCTAGCAGAGCCCCCAGAGCCTGGTGCCCCGAGGACCCGGCAGCCACACAGCACCCTGGCCCCTCTCCTCCCTCCCAGGGGGCTTCGGGGTCTCCCTGGGCCACCCCCCCAGCAACATCAGCCGGGGGACAGAGGCCTCATTGCCCCGCAGGCCAGCAGCAGATCTGCGAGCACAGGGCTCCCCGCACCCCACCCGCTGCGGACCGCGTGGGCCTGGACAAGTTCCTCGGTCTCCGAGCTTCGGCTTCCGGGCCGGCAAGAAGGTTGTGGCACCGGCTAACAGGACCTCACACGTGAGCGTCCAGCCGGGGCGGCGCTGAGCGGGAGGCTCTGCGGGACAGGCCTTTAACGGCTACTGCGGGGCCTCCCTGGTGGCGCAGGCGGTTGAGCGCCGCGCTGTGGAGCCGTCCGCAGCCTCTGCAGCGCCAATTCAATCCCGGCCGCCCTCGGAGCTACCCACATGGCGCGCAGACCTCTCCTGCCGCCCGCTGCTCCCCTCAGCAGTGTCTTCGGTCCTTCTGCCTGTTCTGCTCCCCGCTCTGGCTCTGGTGAATCCTCTCACCCTCCCGTGCCTCTGGCCTGTACCCCAGCTCTTGTATACATAAATATTTTTAAAAATAAAATAAATTAACAGCTACTGCAAACAAACCTCATCTCTGAAAAGAGCACGCAGAATGGCCCAGCAAGGCCCCGCGCCGGCTCCACCCCAGTCCGGGCGCCTGTCTTCACGGGGCCGGGATGCCCCGGCCCGGCAGTCGCCTGCGGCCACGTGACCGCACCGGCCGACGAGTGAGAGGCGCCTGGGCTCCGGGAGGGCACCGAAGACGGACCTGCCCTCCCGACTGCTGCTGCCGCGGCCTGGACGTGACAGACGCTGGCGTGCAGGGCCCTTGGGAATGGGAGCCGGGCTAAGGACAGCCCAAGGCGCCCAGCCCTGGGGACCGGCACAGACCGTCCCCCGATGACCTCCTGCCGGCCTTCCGTGGGCTGCCCGGTACGTGCAGCCAGACCTGATCCGAACGCTCGAGTCTACCGGAGGCCGGAAGTTACTCACAATGAACTTCCAGTGAATTCTTACCAAGGAAGGAAAACCAGCATCATGAGAAATATGCGGAGTTGCTCAGGGCCGAAGGCACAGAAACAGGTGGTCCGGGATGGGAAAGCCTCCCAGGGGCCCCCAGTGACCCGGCGCTCTCTGGCCCACGGGGCCTCTCCAGCGTGGAGGCGGGGGCCCCCCGAGCAGGCCCTGCGCCTGCCAAGTCCTGGCCGGTGGGGCCGGGATCCCGCGTGACCCCGCGTGGGGCACAGCCGTGTCCCGTGGCCTTCCCAAGGGAGGCCGGAGAGACGAGAGCAGCAGTGGGGGCCGCCGGCCGTTCATTTCACCCGCGCGCAGGGCGACCTGGGGATGCCCCGGGCGCGCTCACACTCACGAGCTGCGTCGGGACACGACAGGGGCCGGGAAGATCTGGCTTCCCACCTGCCGGCTCGCTTCCTGCCGGCCCTGCGTGCTGCCCCTGACCGGCGCCCTGGCTCACGGGGGACACACACGGAAGGGCAGGCCCTTACCCCGGCCTGGGCGCGAGGCCCCAGCCGGCAGTCTGGCCGCCCCCACCCGGGGCCGTCTTCTCCTGTGTGAAATGGCAGCAGCCCCCGCGCCTGAGCTGTGAGGCGGCGTGCACGAGGCCGAGTCCCCACGCGCACAGCTTCGGGCCTGGCCGGCCGTGCTGGCAGACCGGGGGGGGGGGGGGGGGTGGGGGGGGGGTGGCTGCGCTGCGCCCGGGCGCAAGGAGGGCGCGTTCTGCGCTGGCTCCGTCAAGGGTCACAAGGCACGAGGACCCAGAGAACACTTTGGAGCTGGAAAGCAGCGAGGCTCGGGGCTGAGACGGGATGTCGCGCAGCTGCCGCCACACCCAGTTCCCAGGCGCCGGGCGATGCGTGGCAGCACGGGGCAGAGCGGGCGGCGCCGGGGCTCGGGCGCACCTCCGCTACCTGGGCATTCTTCTGCCTCACTCCGCTCCAAGGCCTTTGTCGCGAGAGGCGGCAGCCACGGCCCCGACGCGGCCCGCGCGGAGGCCGGGGAAGCAGCGTGTGCCCTGTGTTGACAGCACACGCCCACACGCGGGCTACACACCCAGCGACGGAATGTTCTCCCGGGACGGCCTGCTTGTGTGGAGACACGCCAGAGACGACGCGTCGGCTGTGCCGGGACAGGCAGCTCCTGGGACTGGCCCTTCCCGACGGCACCGTCGCTGCGCTGGCCCGAAGGATGTTCTTCCCGACCAGCCTCGCACCCTGGGCTGTGGTCCTCGGCGCTCTAGACAGCTCGCCTCCCAGAGATCTGCCAAGCGGGGGGTCCAGGCCTGCAAAGCAGGAGCCTGAGGGCCTGAACTTCTGGCCCAGAGACCCGGGAGAGCCGGCGGGTGGTCACCCGGCGTGATAAGGCGGAGAGCGCGGGCGGCGCCAGCACCGGGAGCACAGCCCAGGCCGTCCCCCTCGGCCAGGCTCTCCTGGAGCCCAAGCGTGGCGCCCAGGCAGGACAGCCCCGGGAGAGGAGCTTTCCTGCCGGCGCAGGCAGAGGACGTACCGCCGGGGAAAGAGGAGCAAAGCATGAGAAACAGCTACAGCTGCAACCACCAGTGAAGAAACAAGCCGCGTGCACCTGCTGGGCAGGCAGACGTCGGCGTGGAAGGTCGACGAGTCTGTGAGACCCACCCCTTTGCACAATCCACAAGAAGCCCCGAAAAGAAAACCCTCGCCTCTGCCTCACGCAGCTGGCGCGAGGTGGCCAGTCTCCTGGCCGGCGGGCTGAAAGAGCCAGGGCCTGGGACCGAGACACGCCGCCTGACCCAGCACAAAGCACGAGTCCTGGTTAAGTGTGACCAAGGCCCGGCCCCGGCTGCTGGTCTTCCCAACACCAATGCCTGCCCCCTGCTCCCCCGCGCCCCCCACACCCAGCTGCGGGGGAAGCCCAGCAGCCAGGAGGATGGTCGGCCTCCTGCCTTCACATGCGCGGAGCTCCCACACGTGGCTGATCTATACTAGAGCCCCGAGTCCCCAGAAACGGGGTGGGGCGGTGTCTCTCAAGCTGCCAGACCCCCTCTGGGGAAGAGCACGGCCGCAGTGACCTTGCTCGCGCCAGCATGGGGGCTCCAGTCCAACGCAGACCCCCGCCACCCGCGGGGTGCGGTGAGTGAGCACCCTGCACGAGACCACGGCGGCCCCGGCGGCGGACGCGCTTCAGAGGCACGGGCAGCAGTGCCGGGACAGGCCAGGCGACCTGGCCAAAATGCCTGAGTGGGCAAAAAGCCAGACAGGAAGAAACCGCTGATGGTGTCAGGTGTCACGGTCAGCTCAAGGCCAGGAGGGTCCCCCTCGCTCCCTAATTTAATAGCTGCTGTTCAGAGCTGTGCCGCCCTGCTCTGCGAGACCTGGCCTCCCTGGGCAAGCCGCTGCCCACGCTCTCTCCTGAGCCAGGGCCGCTGCCACCTAGACACAGGCGAGAGGCTGCCAGGCTGGGCACAGCAAAACAGGGGCACATACTGCAGACTGGGGGTCACCCCTGTCGCCTGCCAGCCACTGGTCTTATCGTTGGCAACTGAGCCACTTCTTTCAAACACTAAAGGGTTAGAATTCGCCTCAGGCCTCACCAAGGAAATCCTTTCACCTTCCCTGGTCTGTTTCTCCTGGAAGGCAAAGCGCAATCCCTGGAACAGATCTGAATTCAGAATGAATCAACATTATTGAACACACGACGTGCCTGGCACGTTCACAGCTTTTCCTGGACCCTCGTGACACCTCCTTGTGGTAAGAACCGCTGGTGCAGGCTCGGCCAGCAGACAGTGCAACCGCGCAGCAGCCCCAAGAAGGCAATGAGAGATGTTTTCTGAAAAATGATCCAATGTCACCAAAAGTGCATCTCAACTGCTCGTACGCAGAGAATCAGAACGTGACCGGGCGTCCCTTCCCCACACTGCGTGGGTACTACTGCGTCTACTCTAGCACAGGGACCCTAACCTTTCAGTGATTAGAGGCTTTTCACCTGCCCCAGATGAAGCGAGGCTCTGGGAGGGCCAATGCCTGGTTACGCATCGTGCAAGGGACAGCGGCACCTCTGGTGTGGTCCGCTGTCCAGGCAGCACTGACCCCAGGGCCCCGAGCCTGAAGACTCAGAGGTGTGTCTGCAGACCAGGAGTCCACCCGACCTGTGTCTCCCTGGGTGGGTGGTCCTGACCCCTGACCTCTGCGGCACTTAGCTGCAAAGCAGCTCTGCCACCTCAGGGGGGCATGTCAGGGAGAAGCCTGGCTGTTCAGAGCTGGTCCGTTTACACACACCTCCTCTCTGTGCAGTCTGTTTCCAAGTCCTCCACAGGCGGCACAGCTGCCAGCCTGGCTCTCCCTCGCTCCCTCCTCCACTAAGGGCGACACTCTCGGCAGTGCGCCCACCGCAGGCTGCCCTCGCCAGCAAAAGGCCTAGCTCACAACGGGACAGAGAACATGCCCTCCTCCGGGGGAAGGGTCACATCACATCTGCACCCTCTGAACAGTGTTTCTGAAGGTGGAGACATAGTTTCACAGGATCCTCCCTTCTCTCCCGCTCAGGCAACCAAACAGGGTTAGGAGTTTGGTGTTTGTGGCTACATAACAAAGCACCTGCCCCTAAGGGCCTCAAAGCTCATCAGCTGTGCCACACAGCCCAGCTCCCTAGAGTCCGAGCAACGCCCCAGAAGCAGGTGGAAGTGCCAGCCCAGGTGCACAGAAAGCAAAGCACACAACTCCTCGCGGTTCCTGCCAGTGAGATGCCCGTGCAGCGGGAGGCGGGTCACTGCACTGGCTCCCACACAAAACAATTATGGACCCTGAGTTAGTATTCTCTGCACACAGTCCCTGTTTCTGCTCTTAGGGTGGTTCTAGAATCATGGGCTGCTGTTTTCAAGTCTTTGTAAGGGCTCATGTAAAGCTCTCTCCTGGTTCCAGAGGCTTAGCTGATGAAAACCTCCTTCAGGTTCTCGAGATAGGAGAAAAGTGTTTAACCCAGGACCTCTGTTAATTAAAAACAAACAAGCAAGAGAAATTCAAATACTCTACTTAATGACACGCATGCAACGTGCTCGATACACACGAACAGAAAAAAGGGACCTGTTGGTTAGATGTCTGATAAAGCACAATAAAGTGCTGGTGGTCTAGGGGCGTCCACTGAGAAATTTCTTGGACTTTTCTGTGCGTTCGAAATGTTTCCTAATGAGATGCTGGAGGAGGAAGTCTTTTGAGATAGCAAGTGACTGAGAATAACTTCTCCAGAGCAGGGCAGAGGGCGAGGTGAGCTGGCACACCACCCGAGTCTAGGCCATCCCCGAGGAAAGAACAAAGTGCCAGGGAGCGAGGTCACGCTGGCAGAGACACTGCCCTGTCCAGCAGCAGGCCCGGCATACGCCTCTGGGAGCAACCCTTGCCCCAGACCCTCCATTTTCTCGCTCCAGGACAAAGGTTCTCAACCCTAAGGGCGCCAGGGGGGCGTCTGGGCCCACATCTACAACTGCAGAATCAGCAGCTCCGGGTGGGCCCCAGGCAGCGGGGTTCCGAAGCAGAGGATCGTGGGCCCAGCCTGGAGACACTCAGCGCCGCGCACTCCTTACCTGACACCTGTTGAGAGGCCTCTGAGGAGATGCAGGGGAGAACAGAATACCCCGCCCCCCCACAAACAAGTGCCCAGGCCGCCTCGCAGGAGCTCGGCGACACCGGGCTCGGTGGCAGAGGCTGGCCCGATGCCAGGCCCGCACTGCCTTCCCCGGGCGCGCGAGCGGTGCGGGGTTCGCCGGTGTGGACCGGCCGCGCGCGGGCCGCGGCGGGCCGGCCAAGGTCGCCACGGCGCTCAGCGGGGGCGCCCTCGTCGCCGGGGCCCCTCCCGAGCCCCTCCCCGGGGCCCGCCGCCGCCGCCTGTCCCCGCGCAGCCCCGCTGGGAGCAGAGGGGGGCCCCGAGCCGCCGCCCCGCGAGCCCTGAGGTGCGAGCGCGGGGCGCCGAGCGCGGGCCGGCCGCCCCCTGGGCTGTCACCGCGCCCCGCGGCCGGACGTCAAAACCCCCAGGGCCACGCTGCGCTCGCCCGCGCGCGGGAACCGCCGCGCCGCCCCCGGCCCCTTCACCTCCAGCGCCGAGGCCCGAGCGCGGCGACAGGCCGGGGTCCAGGCGCGCGCCGACGAGCCCCTCAGCCCCGCGGGGCTCTGCGCACACACCGCCCCCCGCCCGCCCAGGGGCCTCTGGGAGATGGAGTCCGCCCGCGCGCCCGAGGCCCGCAGCGCGCGCCGGGAGGACTACAGCACCCGGCGTGCCCCGCGCGACGCCGCGGGCGGGGGCGGGGAGGGGCTCGGCGGGCCCCGCGGCCAGGCAGCCCGGGTCAGCCCTGCCCGAGGGCCGCCAGCGCCCGGCCCGGCCCCGGGGCGTCCCGCGGGCCGCCCTCTCCGCCGGGCCGAGGCGACTCACCGTGCCCGCGGCGCCCGCGGCGCCCGCAGCAGCAGGAGGGCCTCCTCCGCAGCTCGCCGTGGCGCGTCTGTCAGAAGGAGGCGGGTAGGCGCTGGAGCGCGGCCGAGGACTGTGGCGTCACGGCGGGGGCGGGGCCGGGTCACGTGGGCCGCCAGGTGACGTCAGGCCGAGCGCCGGGCGCGAGCGGCGGCGGGGCGGGGCGCGGGCGGTGTCGGCCCCCCCCCCCCAACCCGGCCGAGTCCCGCCTCCCGCCTCCCGGCTGCTGCCCCTCCGCGGGCTCGCCGGGGCGGGAAGACGGCGTGGCGGCTGTGAGCGCCCGGACCCTGCTCCAGCGCTCGCGTGTCCTTCGTGCAAGTGCCTGGGGCCTTTGCTGCTTTCGCATTTTTTGTGCTTTTTGCATTTTTTGTGCTTTTTGTTGATTTTGCTGGTTGTCCGGGCCCCAGCAGGGCGCTGAGGCGCTGTGTGCCCCTGAGGCCAAGAAGGCTGTGACGGGCTTACCAGAGAAAGCGCGCGCCCTGACGACCTGCCGAGGCCGAGTCAGTGCTGTGGGCCTTGAACTCGTGGCCCAAGCTCCAGGGCGCGTGGAACGAGGCGCCTCGTCTTCAAGTAGACGCGGACGGCGTGGTCATGTGCTGGCCAGTGGATGTAATGTTGTGCCTGGAGCCTCGCGGGGACCTTACCCTGAATTTCCCCCAGAAGTAGTGGGTCACTGTTTGCTAAGTCAGCGTTTGCAGAGGGGACTTAGAAAGCATAGCTGCCAGCTGTATGGGGTGCAATTGACACTTCAAAGAAACAACCAGTGTGCGGTGGAGAATGGCTTAGCCAAGGAAAGGCAATTAAGAAGTTGGAAAACCAACACATACGTAATCAAAAAATTTTTCCTGCTAACCATTGACTCAAGCCTGGAGTCAGGGAGCCAGACCCCAAGGGCTCTCAGTTCTTGTCTAGGTGAGGGACGAATTCAATGTCAGGAAAGGAGTTAGGCAGAAAAGCAAGAAATTTATTGCCATGTAAGAAGATGGAAAGGAAAACTCTGAACAGAGAGGGGTTCCGTGTGTGCAGCCACTGAAGGACAAGAGGCAGGAATTTATATGAATATGGAGAGCACAGGGTGGGGGTTCTGACAGCGGGTGTCTCTGTGTTGTCTCTTGCTGATTGGCTGAGACCCGCTGGGTCTCCCAGGTTACTTAGTCTGTTTCCCTGGAAGGAGCTCTGGTCTGTTGCTTTGGCACTGTGTGGCTTTTCTGAACATTGTTTTTACTATGTTAGGGCACCCTGACTCCAAGCAGCTGTTCTCCATTCAGTTTGATAAATGGGCTTGGGGCACCCTGACCCTAACTGCCTGCCTGCTCAGCCTAACTTCCTAATTCACCATGTTAAAAATAAAATAAATACAACGGGCCTCCCCCTTGGTGCAGGGGTTGAAGACACAGCACTGTCAAACTGCTGCCAGCCACTGCAGCACGAGTTCGATCCCCTGCCAGGGAGCTACCCACATGGCACAGCAGACCTCTCCTGTCTCCCCGCTGCTCCCCTCAGCAGTGTATTTCACTCAGTCTGCCTGTTCTGCCCCCCACTCTGTCTCTGGTGGGTCCTCTCACCACCCACACCTCTGCCCTGCACCCCAGCTCTTGTATGTATAAATAAATCTTTAAAAATAAATACAAAAAAGGGTGAAGTTAATTTTAATAATATAATTCAACCCAACACGTGCAAAATATTAGTGTTTTAATGTCTAGTCAGTAAAATATATTATCAATGAGATATTTTACATTCATTTTTTTCCCCACACAGTATTTGGGATGCAGTGTGTGTTTTATACATATAGCACATCTCGTAGCAGATCAGCTACAGCTCAAGGACTCAGTAACTACACGTGGCTTGTGGTTCCGCACTGGACAGACAGCACAGCTACAGGACATTCGTTCAGTTACTAGCATCCAAGCAAGTTCTTGTTTTAGGCCTGGAAATATACAGAATGGAAGAAAGCCCAATTTCTGACACAGTCCAGCTAGGGAGAGAGTATTATAGCTTGCGAGAAAGATATTTTAGCAAAAATGTTCTGAGAGTCCATGAGCGAGCACTTGATGAGAAATCTTCCGAGAGGAGAGAGACATTTAAAAGGATGTGGAGGAACTCCCCAGGTAGAGGGCGGAGGCCACCCCAAGCACTGAGAACTGCGTGTGCGTAGTCCCAGAGAGAGGACAGCCAGAGCCCCTCGGGAAAGGCCAGCAGGGCTGAGGCTGGATGGTAGGAAGGGCAGAGGGTGGGGAGAGAGGAGGGTCTTGTGGACCAGCCAGTGGAAAGTGCAGTTGGCGCTCTGCAGCGTTGTGGGGGAATGCTGAGCGTCCCCTGCTGGGCGGTGAGACCAGGGTAATGAGCACACCCTGGCCGTGCGCACGGGGGCAGAAGCCTCTATCGATCCAGCTGGCAGGAAGACCCATTAGGAAGGGAGGTGGCTTGAGAATGAATCCAGCGGAAAGACCCTTGAGACGGAAAGCGGGCCGGAGCGTGCGGTCTGTTTGTATGACGTGTTCAGAACCTCAGCGTGGAGACAGAAACGAGCGGTCATCAGAGGCTGGGGAGCTCAGGGGGACGGGGGTGCCCGTTAGTGGCAAAAGTTCCTTTAGGGGGTGATGAACGAGTTCTCAGCTTGTCACTTGACCTCGCGCCTGTGAATCTGCTGGAAGCCACTGACTTGTCGCTTCTGTGAGTGAGCTTGTGGCCCGCGAGCTAGAGCTCCATAAAGCAGTCACCAAGGTAGGGGCAGAGACCACACGCAAAGCAGCTGGGAAGAATCCAGACACGTGTGGAAATAAAAGCGAAGGCGCCTCTGTGCAGCCACGGGGTGGTGGCCTGTGTTGTTTCTCTGGGACCCCTGCTGGGTGTGTCTGAGACCAGGAGCCCCCACTGTCTCGGGTGGGAGGTGCCAGGAGCTGCCGGTGGTCTTGCAGCCTCACTGCCCGTCTCACTCCCCTGGGGAGCCACCAGTGTATCCAGACCCCTCCGCGCCACACGGCCACGCGCACACGGCCCGTTCCACACCACCGCCGCCTTCGTGGCTCCCAGCTCACCCCGTACTGTGAGGCAGCGCCCCCTCTTTCCGGCCGGGCTCTGACTGTAACGGGGTGGTTGGAGCACTTTGGCCTGTCACTGTCGGTGGCAGCCCCCTTGCCTTGTGCCCTGGACGAACACCTGCTGGCCGTCAGTGGGCCCTCCCAGGGGGTCCTGAGACTTGCGTCCCACCTTTCGCCTCCCAGTTGGCAGAAAACAGCGCGGAGAAAGTGGAGTTCCATGGTCCCGGCAGCCAGTGCCATCTGCTGGCGAAATGGGCAGGGGACACTGCAGGTTCCTGAGGGTGTGTGTGTGTGTGTGTGTGTGTGTGTGTGTGTGTGTGTGAGAGAGAGAGAGAGAGAGAGAGATCCCTCCCTCTTAAGTGTCACTGTCTTAGGCCAGAGCCCAGGTCCATTCTGAGCCCCGTAAGGAAAGTGCTGCCTTCCGTGCCAAGCTCCATGCTTTTCCACCAGCCTCTCAGCCACTGGGTGGCTGTAGCGATCCCCAGAGCTGTCCCAGCAGCCTCTTCTGCCCCCCTCCACTCTCTGTCCCCCATAAGGAAGTCACTAACCCGACGTTTGTTTCGGCCTTTCCTGTAAGTTCTTGTTTTTTTTTTTTTTTTTTTTTTTAATAGAGGCATGCTTTATTTATTTATTTATTTATTTGTTCATTCGTTTTTGTTTATACAAGCACTGGGTACAGTCAGAAGCGCGGGAGGGCGAGAGAATTCACCAGAGCCAGAGCGGGGAGCAGAGCAGGCAGAAGGACCGAAGGACACTGCTGAGGGGAGCAGCGGGCGGCAGGAGAGGTCTGCGCGCCATGTGGGACCCTCCTCCGGTGGCCGGGGAGCAGCCGGGGATCGAACCGGCGCTGCAGAGGCCGCGGGCAGCTTCGCAACCCAGCGCTCAACCGCTGCGCCACCGGGGAGGCCCTCCTGTAAGTTCTTGTAACGAAAGTAAAAAACGCTCAGACATGCTCGTGAGCGTAACCATGACAAGGCGCCCTTGAGAGCCTGCAGCTCCCGATAAAGACCGGTGGGGCTGAGCGCGCGTCACTAGCTTGTCCTGCACCCCAGCGATAGGGACCCCCAAAGGTGTATAAGGACCAGTATTTTGGCCCGAGAGAGCAATTCCAAGAGACTGGCCCTGGGGAGGGTGGGAGGAACCTTGCCGTAGCGATGCTTCCGGAGGCGAGCTCGCTGCCCCCTTTGGGCTTCGCTGCTCCCCGACTCCCTCTTGCTCCCGGTTTGTCACAACGGCACTGGCCTGGCACACTGCGTGACCATCGCTCCCCAGGCTGGCACTCTGTGACTGTCGCTCCGCGAGTCCTCGCCGCATCCCCCGGCTCTTCACCCAGCTTCGGGGGTGACTCGGCTAAGACACGCTGTGCAGCGACTATAGTCGGAAGGTACTTTGGGCGCTTAGGGTTGGTTTTCCCTGTTTGATTTGAGTGTTCGAGTGACAGCATAAATCAAATCTCTTCTTGAGAACCAACCTCCGGCTGAGATTCGCTTACTGCGCGCGACAGTTCGGTTACGAGTGGACCCAGCTACAGGTGTGGCCTGTGGGGTGCACTCCGCAGGTGACCCCAGGGCGCTCAGGATGTAGCTCCACCAGGGCACCCCCACCCCCGTGGGTCTGCGGCATCACTGGCTTGAAAGCCTCAAGCAAAAACCCTATGATTGTTTGGCAGATACAACGAACTCCCCCTATTTCGTACGGGGTCCCGGGCTGAGCATGCAGCCGCCCTCCCCGGGGAGCCTGGCACACTTACCCACGCTGAACGGGAGTGTGACGCAGCAGGGCCAGAGGCAGCAAACACCGGTCCCGAGAATCTAGGCTGAGGCCCCACCACCCAGCTGCTCTCCCGAGAAGGCAGAGCCAGCCCAAGCAGGCGCGAAAGAAGCCGTTCCTGCCAACACCTGTGCCCACTGCAGTACGGACAGGGTGCTGAGCCCCAGCCACCCCATTTGCAATGACCCGAGTCCCCAGTGGCCAGCCCTTGTCCCCGCCGGAGTCCATTGGCATAAACCGCTGGAAAGAAATCGACCAAAAGTGGGCCTCCCTGGTGGCGCGAGGGGTTAAGCACCGCACTATGAGGCAATCCGCAGCCTCTGCAGCACGAGTTCGATCCCCGGCCAGGGAGCAACCACATGGCGCAGCAGACTCTCCTGTCTCCCCGCTGCTCCCCTCAGCAGAGTACTTCGGTCCTTCTGTCCTTCTGCCTGTCCTGTTCCCTGCTCTGTCTCTGGTGAATCCCCTTACTCCTCGCACCTCTGGCCTGTCCCCCAGCTCTTGTATGCACAAATAAATAAATCTTTTTTTTAAAAAAAAAGAGAAAGAAATCGACCAAAAGGATTTGGGGCAGCCCTGGGGCCCCCGCACAGCTGCAGTTTGGCTGGAGATTTGGGCTTTGGGGCTCCATAACAGCATCCTGGCTCCGGGGTCTCACCCTGGTGCCCCTGCCCCCACCACCCCTGCAGGATGCGCGCCTGGCCCTGGTGACCAGACTCATTCCAGTTCTGCCATTCACATTTTTTTTTTTTTAATTTTATTTTTTTTTAAGATTTATTTATTTATTTATACAAGCACTGGGCACAGTCAGAAACGCGGGAGGGTGAGAGGATTCACCAGAGCCAGAGCGGGGAGCAGAGCAGGCAGAAGGACCGAAGTACACTGCTGAGGGGAGCAGCGGGCGGCAGGAGAGGTCTGCGCGCCATGCGGGATCCTCCTCCGGTGGCCGGGGAGCAGCTGGGGATCGAACCGGCGCCGCAGAGGCCGCGGGCAGCTTCGCAACCCAGCGCTCAACCGCTGCGCCACTGGGGAGGCCCTGCTATTCACATTTCTTTGTGAGGCGTGGGAGGCCCCTGCTCTGGCCCTCTCCAGCCTCGACCCTGCACTGTCCTCCCCCTCTGCCCGACAAAGGCGGGTGAGACCACTAGAGGAGGACACAGCCCGCCAGGTGGGACCACTGGGGAGCAGATGAACCCAGGGCTGTGGGGACCAGGCTTCTGATAACGAGGTGGGGGGTGCAGTTCTCATGGGAGAACGTTTGAATAGTCTCCAGGCTGGCAGAAGTTGGAAGCCCCTCGGGTGGAGGGCGGGCGGAGGGCGGCAGATCTGGCTGGTGGGGGAGCTTGCAGGTGAGGGGCTTTCCTGCTGGGTGGAGTGCATCTGGCAAGAGCAGGGTGCCCCGTAGCATGCATGGACGACAAGGACCCAGTACTGGAAGTTGTCGGCTTCCTACACAATGGGCACTTGGGTAGCTCCAAGAGGGTCAGTTGGAAGGTCTTGCACCAGTAGGTCCACGTTGGGGTGTGGGGTGAGGGGTTCTGGATAAACCTTAAAGACACGATGATCTTGAAAGGAGCCAGCTCAGCAGGCCACCTACTGCATGACGTCACAGCTGTGCCATGTCCCAACAGGCAGGTCCAGAGAGGCAGATTAGCGGGCACGGGGGTTGGGGGGCATTGCATGCCACAGAAGTGGGGGCTCCCCTCTGGTGATGAGATGTATAAAGGAGCTTGTGTTCAGGGCCTCCCCGGTGGCGCAGTGGTTGAGCGCTGGGTTGCAAAGCTGCCCGCAGCCTCTGCGGCGCCGGTTCGATCCCCGGCTGCTCCCCGGCCACCAGAGGAGGGTCCCGCATGGCGCGCAGACCTCTCCTGCCACCCGCTGCTCCCCTCAGCAGTGTACTTCCGTCCTTCTGCCTGCTCTGCTCCCCGCTCTGGCTCTGGTGAATTCTCTCACCCTCCCGCACTTCTGACTGTACCCAGTGCTTGTATAAATCAATCAATCAATCAATCAATCAATCTTTTTTTTTTTTTTGAAAAGGAGCTTGTGTTCATGCTCACACAAAGTTGCTAACAGCTGCTGACATGCACTATTTTTTTTAAAGATTTATTTTATTTATGTATGCATACAAGAACTGGGGTGCAGGCCAGAGGTGCAGGTGTGAGAGGACTCACCAGAGACAGAGTGGGGAGCAGAACAGGTGGATCCACCCAGATGCACTGCTGAGGGGAGCAGCGGGGAGACAGCAGAGGTCTGCTGTGCCCTGAGGGTCAGTGCCCCAGCCAGCAGGATGACAGCTTCATAGTGCTGAGACTTAACCCCTTGCCACCAGGGAGGCCCCTGGGCTCTTTCTTCCCCTGATGCCTATCCCTGGGGAAGTGGGAGAGCAGACCAGAGCTGGGAAGGACTGTCCTGGCACTGTCCTTGTAGCATTTCTACACACACACACACACACACACACACACACACACACGGCAACCCCACTTGGAAGTTCTATTTCCCACCCAGCATGCAGGGAAGGTAAAACTCAGAGAGGTTAAGTCATTTGCACAAGGTCACACAGCGGCTGAAAAAGCAGAAACCCATAGCCCCGAAGTGTGCGGGTCTTTCAGCTGCCGGTGTCTCCTTGTCAGCTTCCTCAGCCCTTCTCTGGGAGCCTGGGGGAGTCTGGCCTCTGGCCAGCCGACACACTGAGCAGGGCTGGGGGTGGGGGTGGTCATGCCTGGGCCTGTAGAGCTGGGGGGCTGGGCGAGCCAGCTCAGGAGAGGAGCAGAGCAAGACTTGGGGAGGCCATCCTGGCCCATGCCCGTGACAGGCAGAAGCCAGGGGGGAGCTGGAGGCCTTGGCCCTCTCTATGCCCCTGCCCCCAGAAGTGGGAGCCCTGGCGGCTTTTGGCTGGTGCCCAGACTCAACTGGAATCTTTGGGCTCTTCTCTACCTTCTCGTTTCTCAAACCTGGGCTTTTTTAACCCCAAGAACTCTGTTTTCTGCCCTGACTCTGGAGGCTTCCAGGAGCAAGCTGCCTGTCCACCAGCTTCCCCACACATGGGTTGGAAAGGACCATGGTTCTGACACAGACAAAGGACTTGAACGGAATGGCTGGCCGTGCTGTCCAGACACCCACCGGCTCCCGCGAGCACCTGCCTGCGCCGGCTCTGGAAGCAGCTTGTCCATGTTCTCTGGTGTCCTAGCAACCAGAACCTTGTTCGAGTTCTGGCCCAGACAGGGCCATTTCCCCCTGACCCCAGGCCTGTCTGTGTGGCTTGAGGGTCCACTGCAAGCCACCCCTTGTCCCCTCTCCCCCGGATGCGCAGAACCACAGCGCCCCCACCGACAGAATGAGCTTCTCAGTCACCTACAGCGAGCTGATCGACATCGCCATCCCGCGGGGTGGCGTGATCAACTTCAAGGCCCTGCACCTCCTGCTGCAGGGCATCCTGGACCACATCCACATAGCCGAGCTCAAGAAGGTGCTCACGGGCGACGAGGACTTCCTGCAGACCTCGGCGGTGTTCACGCCCCGGGAGGGGGACGCCCAGCCCATCATCAACCCCATGAAGAGGCTCAGCAATGTCTTCGACCACGTGGTGGACCGCATGGACAGGATGGAGAGCCAGCTGGCTGCCCTGCAGGACCTGCCCTCCACCATCCAGCTGCTGGAGGGCAGCCAGGGTGCTGGCAGGCCTGCGGAGGCGCTGTGGCACCTGATCAAGATCCGGAAGATGGTGGAAGGCAACGAAGAAGCCCTCGCCAAGGTAAGCCACACGCCTCCCTAGCTGTCAGCCCAAGCCCCCGGGCCCTGTTACCTGGCCCCCTTGGGACAGGTGAGGAATTTGGCTTTGGAGCCAGGCCACACCACAGCCCCAGGCCGCACCACAGCCCCAGGCCACGCCAGAGCCCCAGGCCTTCTCCGAGACGGCCCTCTCCCGTCTTAGCTCCCCCCTGCCCGGCTCCATGTCTTTCAGCTGTCTTTTTTTTTTTTTTTAGATTTCTTTTTATTCATTTATGCACACAAGAACCAGGGTGCAGGCCAGAGGTCCAGGGGTGAGAGGATTGACCAGAGACAGGTTGGGGAGCAGAACAGGCGGATCTACTGAAATCCACTGCTGAGGGGAGCAGCGGGGAGACAGGAGACAGGAGAGGTCTGCTGCGCCCTGTGGGCAGCTCCCTGGCCGGGGATAGAACTCGTGCTGCAGTGGCTGGCAGCAGTTTGACAGCGCTGTCTTTAACCCCTGCACCCCCAGGGAGGCCCCTCAAATGTAATTTTGGGATAAGAGAACAGGACGTCACGCCTGGGGCACGTGTCCACTCCTGGCCCTTTGGACATGGCCAGGCAGGCAGGCTCAGCCTAAGAACTGTAGTTACCCCCTCCAGCAAGTCTCGGAAGGGGGCCGGGACTAGACAGGTGCCCTGAAAGATCTCGGTTACACAGGTTTCAAGTCTGACGAGGGCAGAGGAGGGCAGAAACCCAGGTGCAGGTGTTTGTAGAAGTTATGGGCAAACACAGATGGTGTGGAAACTGGAGACGGTGGCCCTGAGGAAAGGGCCAGGGCCTTCCCTCTCCTGCCATTCCCCCGCCCCACTCCGCCCCTCCCCTGAACCCTCCCTTCTCCATGGAGCTCCCCACCCCCAGCTGCCATCCCTCAGCTCTCCCCACCTGCCAGGTAGGTCAGGGGCTTACACCTGTTCGCTCCTTAGGGTGCTGTTCTCATCGATTTCCCCAGAGAGGGAAGTGGCCCACCGAGGTCTCCGCGTAGGAGCGGGTAGCCGTGCGCCCGGGGAGGGGCGGCCAGTGCACTCCCTGCGAGCCAAGGCAGGAGGTGTCCTGGCTTTCTCCTCCCAGGACAGTTGAGAGAATGAAGGCGTAGGAGCTGGGGAGCGCCCGGCCAGCAGTCACTGTTAGCATCCTCTGGAGACTGAACTGGGCAGGCAGTGGGTTCCACCGAGTTGCTTTATGTGGAGAGATCCCTGTTTGTCAGACACGTACCAGTAGAGTCGCCCCTTCCTACCCAGAGCCGAGAGCCCAGCAGACTGTTCCCTCTCCGTGTCCTTTGCTCTGAGTATGTTTCAGTCCAGGCCTTGGGAGCGCGTCTGTATTTACTTGTCCCTTCCCTAGCCAGGCCCAACTTCCTGCTTTCCCTTCCTCTCCCCGCTTCAGTCCATGACGACCCTGCAGGACTTGCTCACCGACATTCATGTACTCAAGGTCACCGCTGGGGCCCTCAGGAAGGACGTGGACATGCTGAAGGACATATTCCAGAAGGTAGGCCTCCTGGCACCCTCCGTGCTGGCCTTGCTGCTTGGACCTCGGGTGGCTGGAGTGACAAGGCAAATCTAGGAAACCTGTTCTTAGTCAAAAATCACAGCCACGCGGCAGGGCAGGAGCCTGAGTCATCTGTGAGTGGCAGAAACTTAGACCTGGTTTTGGCAAAAGAGAGAATTTATCGTCTCAATTACTAAAATGTCAAGAGATGCCTGCAGGCACAGCGGGATCTAGGTGCTACACCACCACCTCAGCCTGTCTTTCTCTCTGCCTCCTTTGGGGGATAATCAGGTGCTCCCCAAGTCTTGGTGATTTCAGGCTTCTCGTTCACCAGTTTAGCAGAAAGAAAACAATTCTTCCTCTTTTGGAAAGCTCTGTACCTACTGAATACTACTGTGAACCCTGGGCAGGCATGCATGCTAGTTCCTTATGGGCCTACAAAGACTTCAACCCAGGGCCTCCCCGGTGGCACAGGCACCACCATCTTTTTTTAAAGATTCATCTATTTATTTATACAAGAACTGGGGTACAGGCCAGAGGCGTGGGAGGGTGAGAGGATTCACCAGAGCCAGAGTGGGGAACAGAACAGGCAGACGGACGAAATACACTGCTGAGGGGAGCAGCGGGCGATGACAGGAGAGGTCTGCCGCGCCATGTGGGATTCTTGCCGGCCAGCTGGGATCGAACCCACATTGCAGAGGCTGCGGACAGCTTCACAGCGCTGCGCTCAACCGCCTGCGCTACCAGGGGAGGCCCCATGACAGGCTGTTAAGAGGCCCTGCAGCAGAGTCGCTGAGTGCTTCTTAGCCCAGCATTTCCCAAACTTATTTGCCCAGGGAACCTTTTTCCAGCCCTTTCCCACTTACTGGGAAATACTAGCTTTGGAATCTGTCGTCCGGCTTGTTCCTCTGGGCCAGGCCCTGGTATGTGGCTGTGAGAAGACGCAGGGCTGGCACCACCCCGGCCCACGGGCTCGGCTCATTTCACAGATGCCCCTGGAAAAAGTGGACAGTATCTCCAAAGATTTGAAATCGCAGCACCAGAAGATGAATGCCCTGCAGCGGGAGATGGTGAGAGCCCTGCTGTCCCCTCTCCCAGCCCCTCTTCCCCTCCCCCTCCAGGCTCAGGGGTGCTGGGAGAAGGGAGGGGTACAGAGGACAGAACTTGGGAAGGCCCAGGCACCCTTGGGGTCCGCCCCCTCATTCCCGACCGCCTCCACACCCCCCAGCTGACGCTTCAGAATAAAGTAGTCTCCGTCCCCAAAGCCGAGGACACGGTGCTCTGGAGTGGCCTGCACGAAGCCATGTTCCCCCGAGTAAGTGCGCCTAAGGTGGGGTAGGCAGGGCCAGGCAGCCCAGAGTGACCCTGGCTTACCCAGTCGCCTTTTCCCTTCGGGACTTTTCTACAGAGAAAGTCACAAAACCTGCAGGACTCGGAGCTGTGGACGGTTGCTGAGGAAATCCAGAAGGAAAGCCCTCAGCAGATCACCGAACGCCTGACAGTTGGAGCCGAAGCTGCTGGTCACAGCCAGATCCGAGAGGCCATCCAGGGTCCCAAACCCCTGCACACTGTCTGGTACGGTCCTGAGGCCTTGATGGAACTGCAGGAAGAGGAGTCCACACAGGCCGTCCCCCTCCCTGAGGCCCAAGTGCCAGGCGAGCCCCAGGAGCCAGGTCAGCCCCAGGAGCCGGGCCAGCCCCAGGAGCCTGGTCAGCCCCAGGAGCCGGGCAAGCCCCAGGAGCCGGGCAAGCCCCAGGAGCCGGGTCAGCCCCAGGAGCCAGGCAAGCCCCAGGGGCCGGAACCTAAACCTGGGCCCGCCACCACAGCTGGACCGGGGCCTGGGCTGGGGCCTGGCATGACGCCTAGGTTCATGGCAGGACCTTGGCCTGCTTTCAGACCTGGGCCTGTCCCCGGGCCTGGCTCAGCCTTTGGACCGGGACAGGCCACCGGATCTGGGCAGGCCTTCGGACCAGGACCAGCCTTCGGACCTGGGCAGGCTTTCGGACCAGGGCCGGCCTTAGCACCGGGACCTGCTTCAGGACAGGGACCAGCCTTCAGACCAGGATCAGCCTTTGGACCGGGACCAGCTTCAGGACCAGGACCGGCCTTAGAACTGGGACCAGCCTTTGGACAAGGGCAGGCCTTAGGACCCAGGCCTGTGCCTGGACCCAGGCCTGTGCCTGGACCCGGGCCTGTGCCTGGACCTGGGCCTATGCCTGGTCCCGGGCCTGTGCCTGGTCCCGGGCCTGTGCCTGGACTTGTGTCTGCGCCGGACACTCAGCCCACACCACCAGGCTTCTGGCCTATGCCACCAGGAGGCTGGCCTCCTCCCAGAGGCTTCACTGCCCCTAGCCGTTTGCCTTCCTGGGGCATGGACTATTCATCTGGCCTACCTGGCCAGCCCCAGAGCTCCAGGGAGCTTCGTGGGCCTCCTAAGCCGTGGCCGCCCCCCTACCAGGCAGAGGGCCTCCCCCCGCTCTCAGAAAATGAGCAAGGTCTCCCCCCAGAGGTTGCGAGAGTCACTCAGTCTCCAGCCTCCAGGGACGGGGCCCTCGATGTACCCCCTAAGCGTTCTCCATCTACCCTTAAGCGGATAAAAACCTCTGCTTCTGTGGCCGCAGCCGCTGCTGCCGCCTATGCTGCCGCCGCTGCCTCAGCAGCCCAGACAGTCAGGGCTGCTGTCAAATTCGTTGAGGATGTCCCTGCCACCAAGCTGGCCACCAAGGCCACCACTAAGGCCGCGTCCGGGCCCCTGGGGGTCTTTGCAGATGAGCTGGGTGCCGGGTCCTCCCGCGGAGCCACTAAGGACCTCCACAAGGCTGTCCAGGTGGAAGACGTGTCAGATGTGGGGTACGAGGACTTATCCCTGCTCTACATGTCTATGCACGCCCCTTCCGACCCGGTCCTGGCCCAGGCCATGCTGTCTGCCAGCGAGGCCATGACCCTGGAAGAGAAGAAGGATGCCATCAAGATGTCCTTGAGCCACATGGCCCAGATGCCCATCAGACACGACTCCCTGAAGGAAGAGATGGTGCAGCTGTCGTCCAAGCTGCAGCAGCGCCTGGACCACCTGTGTAGGTGCCGCCAGCTGGGGCGGGCCGGGGCGGGCCGGGCCCGGCCGGGCCCCCCAGCCACCCAGGAGGCCTCTTTCCCTTCCTCTTGTCCCCCCAGCAAAACCTGCATTCGCTCACTAGCCATGCATTCGTTTAACTTAAATATTAGCCTCTTGCTGACCTGTTCTTTTATCATGAGTGTCATGATGTCTAAGAGAAGGGGGAAGCTGGGTCTAAAGTGGAGTTTGAGGAGTCACGTGTGGGGACTCACCCTGGGAGACACTTTGGTAGCCCCAGGGCGTAACCAGCCCCGCTGTGGGCTGATGTGGGGTTAGGAACTACCGCTGGGCAAACCTGGCTCTTGCAGGCTCCAGGCATGGTCTGGGGGTCACTGGGACCAGGACACTTTTGCTCCCCTTTCACACCATGACAGGCACTAAATCACGGGGACAGAGACTGCCTGGTACAGAGCTCTCAGCCCTGGGCACACCTCAGCACCCCTGATGGGGCAGGCTGCAGGGCGCACCCCAGAGTCTTGTACTCGGGTGATCTGGATGGAGCCCTAGCCCTAACCCTTATAGCCCTAACCTCACCCCCCACTCCTAACCCCTGGCTGTCACCCTCACCTTCACCCTCACCCCTAACTCCTAACCCTCTCCCGGTGACCCCCAGCCACTCCCAGGTGATGCTGCCGCTGCCCCTGCCCCCGGGGACACCACGGGCCGCCCTCCTGCTCTCTGTGCGCTCTCTCCATGCGCGACCCTAGTGAGACCCACATGTGCCGCGGCCGGGACTGGTAGTGCCTTGAGGGCCTCAAGAAGTGGAATTTCACGTAGCTCAGGGACCCACGTCTGCTGTGAATACTGGGCGCAGCTAGTCAGTCATGCATCCCAATGTGAAACCTAAAGCTTTAATAACCGGCTCCCCTCTGACCAGCCGCCACATTTACTAAGAAAACGAAAGGCGCTTGCGGTGGGTCCCCGCTGAGGTTCCTGGCTGTGCCTGTGTGTCTCCTTCGAGCTGGATATGGGGCACCTGTTTTTAGCTCCTTTTCTTTTTTCCAGAGCCCCCTTCCTGTCCTGGGCAGGCTGCACGCACGCTCACGCGCAGGGCACGCCACGGCTTCGCTCAGGGCCACTCCTCGGGGGTATTGCGCTCCGGATGGCTCCCCAAGGCCCGTGCTGGTGGCCCGAGTCCCCTGTGCTTTGGGCGTTCGGGAGGGGGTGAGCGGAAGCCCAGGTGGACCCCGCACACACATCGCGCTTTGAATCAGCACCAAAGCAGGGCCGTGGTTTTCTCAGTGACATTAAAATGATGCTACTGCGGGCGAAGCAGGTCAGCTAACACACTCTGTCAGAGTCAGTCTCACCTGCTTCTGCGTCGATGTTTGTGTAAAGTGTCACTAGTGGAAGTGTCCCTGACGCGGAGGCCCCAGGCTCTCGGGCCTTTCTGTGGGTCAGCACCCCCTGGGTGCCTCGGTGGGGCGGAGATGAAGCAGCCCCCCACCTCGTCTGCCTTTGCTTTCAGCTGACATCAGCGCCTCCTCCAAGCTCGGGAAGACAGTGGACATGTTGCAGGACAAGATTGACAACCTCTTCAAGTCCAGGATGAAGGTCAGTGTCCTTGGTACAAGAGCTTGAGGCGAGCAGATGCAGAGTCCATGGCCCCGAGCTGGGCACCCCCCCAGACCCTGTAGTGAAGGGGGACCCGGCCAGGTTGCGAGCGGCCTGGGGGCAGCTGTACCTGCAGAGGTGGACCCAGCTGGGGCAGGGGGCGGGGCGGGGCGGGGTGGCCGGGGGCCCCGGCAGTGTCCACGGCAGCTGTAAGATGGCAGGCTGCAGGCACGTGGTCTTCTCTGTCCCCCGAGCTCCCTCGGGCTGGGGCACCCCAGGAGCAGAGGCCTTGGAAGTGTCTGTGTCTCTCCTTTAGGAGGAAGAACTGGAGAGGGTTTGGGGCCACCAGGTCGAGGTCATGAAGGATCACTACATCGTGCTGAACAAAGCAGTGGAGAATGTCCAGATCCGCCTGGATGAGTTGAAGGTCCGGTGGCCGGGCGGGCCAGGGCAGGCGGGGGGGGGGGGGCGGGGGGGGCGCTCCATCTGGAAACCCGTGCTCGCCCTGGCGGCCCCCGGTGGTTTCTCATGTGGAACCGGGTGGCTCCTCGTCCATGGAAGACAGGCGAGCCCCACTCCCCACAATCCAAAGCAGAAGGGCCTGGCCAGCGTCTTGCTGACCACCAGGTCGCTGGCCCCTGGAAGATACCCGGCCCAGATGAAGGCGCAGAAGGTGCTGAGTGAGTGAGTGAGTGAATGGGAGGGCTTCCTGCGTTCCCGCATTGCCCCGAAACAGCCTGTTCTGAGCGCTCTGTTCACGGGCCTGGCTGGGCAGCAGAGTCCCTGCCGTGGGGACGTGAGGATGGACAGCCTGGAGACCATGCTGGCTGGGCCTGGCCCGGAGGTGTCCCAGACCTTTGAAGTGGGGTCATGGGGTCACTCCCACTAGGGGCAGATCTCCCTCCCTGGGGTGTAAAGACACAAAATCCCAAACAGAACCCCTGGAGTCATTTCCACCATCAGAAGATGGTTTCCTCCCCTCGGTAGGTGGCCGTCGGGAGGATGAATTGGGACATGGGGTGGGAGCAATGTGTCCCCACTCCCCTACTCACCTGGCCCCCGGCCCCTGGCCCCCCACCCTAGACCCCACCCCAGGCCCGGTCCCCGGCAGGGCAGAGAGCATCCTCGAGGCTTCCCAGGGGGACTGACTGCCCTCTGCTTCTGCTCTTAGAGTATCAAGGCTCAAATAAGAAAATTAGAAATAAACAAGGCGGACAAGAAGCTGGTGGAGAAGGAGCTAAGTGAGGTGAGGAGCCCCGGCCCGCCCTGCCCCGGGCCCCTGTCCCACCGGGGAAGCAGGTGGCTTCCAGGGTTTCCTTCCACCTCTGCATCCGTGGCCAGGTTGCCCCCCAACAAGGCATCTCAAGGCTGCCCCACCGCTCCCATTCTCTGTGATGCAGGGCGAGTGACAGTTGTTGTGGGGACTTAAAACCATGCACCGTTTATCCACCCAGCTTCTGTCAAGGAAAACCTCGGCTTAGGGCCTCCCTGGTGGCGCAGGCGGTTGAGTGCCACACTGTGAAGCTGTCCGCAGCCTCTGCAGCGCGGTTCCATCCCGGCCGGCTGGGCGAGAATCCCACATAGCGTGGCTGACCTCCTGTCGCGCCCGCTGCTCCCCTCAGCAGTGTATTTCATCAGGCTGCCTGTTCTGTTCCCCGCTCTGTCTCTGGTGAATCCTCTCACCCTCCTGCACATCTGGCCTGTACCCCAATTCCTGTATAAATAAATAACTCTTTAAAAAAAAAACAAAACACCTCGGCTTAGACCTGATGTTGCATTTGAGCCGCCGCGCCCCCGCGGCTGAATGTAAGGCAGGCTGGCTGTCCCGACCAGGCTGCAAAATACAGACCCAGGGGCCTGACTCCTCCCCCCCGCTCCCCTCCCCCACCCCCAGCTGTCTTCTGTGTCCCCTCTTCCCTAGAAAGCCGACCGGGGCGTCCTGGCAGGCAAGGCGAACCGGGTGGACCTGGAGACCGCGGCGGTGGAGCTGAACGAACTGATCCAGAGCGTGCTGCTCAAGGTCATGGGCCACGAGGACGGCTGGAAGAAGGCTGTGGAGCGGCTGAGGAAGGACCTGCAGGCCAAGGTGAGGACCCTGCTCCAGCCTCGTCCCAGGCCCGGCAGCTCCAAGCAGCAAAGGTTCACAGTTTCCGAGAGTCATGCACCGGGGAGCGGCTCAGGAGGTCTCTGTCCAGATGCCGTTGTTGGAAGGCCTGGCTGGGGCGGAGGCGCACTTCTACCCCAGGCGGACCCCTCTTGCTGCCAGGGGCCACCACTCAGGGCAGCTGACTCCCCCAGAGCGAGGGAGCCCTGGGGGCACCAGAAAACCACCAGATGTGGCAACAGGTGTCACCCTCCATCAGGTCTGAAATCTCCTGGCGGTGACATGGTCAACCCTGTCCAGTGTGAGGGGGTGACCTAGAGGAGTCCACCCACCTCTCCTGGCAGTGGGACATGGGGCTGAGGGGGGGTGTTGCTGACCCCGGACAAGCCAGACGCCGGGGCAGTGTTGAGTGAATGCAGTCACAGCCGCCCTGCTTTGAACTGTGAAGGATCGATGGGTAGACCCGGGGGAGAAGCCCAGCACCCCGTGATCGTGGCCAGGGGAGCAGCTGGCAATGTCACAGCATTCAGCAGATCTGCCCTGCCCTTCGCCTCTCCCAGTCCCGCCGGCTCATCTGCATCCCCACAGCAGCCCCACAGAGCAGGCCCGGGGCGCATCTCAGGAGAACGAGCCTCACGTATATTTTATTTTTTATTTTTAAAAAGATTTATTTATTTATTTGTTTGTTTGTTTGTTTATTTATATAAGCACTGGGTACAGTCAGAAGCGCGGGAGGGTGAGAGAATTCACCAGAGCCAGAGCGGGGAGCAGAGCAGGCAGAAGGACCGAAGGACACTGCTGAGGGGCGCAGCGGGCGGCAGGAGAGGTCTGCGCGCCATGTGGGACCCTCCTCTGGTGGCCGGGGAGCAGCTGGGGATCGAACCGGCGCCGCAGAGGCTGCGGGCAGCTTCGCAACCCAGCGCTCAACTGCTGTGCCACCAGGGAGGCCCAAGCCTCACGTTTATTAAGTGGCCACCAAGCCGCCCACATCATCACAGTGACTGCGGGGTGATGTCAGACTTCTTGACGCAACAGCAGGGTGACAAAAAGCAGCACAGAGAGGTCCTCTAGATTAAGGGTCCTGTGAGGGAATGGCCAGAAGCAGCCAGAGACCTAGCAGCATCGAGAGACCCGGCCGCATCCAGAGACCTGGCCGCAACCGCGTCAGCCCCGGGTTCCACCTGCGCCAGGAGTCCTTGTTCATGGTGCGGCCGCGAGACTGTGCCTCCCGGGAAAACATCCTCCTGTGTTAAGGAAGTTATGAGTGGCATGTCCTGATGTCTGCACCTTTGTAAAGAAAACGCATCCAGGCCCCAACGATGACACCTAGACGGGAGGCTCTCCCCCCAAGAGCAGCAGGGCCTCTGGGGACTCTCCGCCCCAGCAATGTCCATGGCCCGCCGGCCGGCCGGCAGCTTCTTCCCGTGCTGAGGCTTGGCGCCCGAGTCAGCCATTTCACTAAGGCTTGCAAAGGGGCGACTGTCCTCATCCAACTTTGCCTCTACATGTGTCAGCCGGAGAGCTGTGAAGAGGCTCTCTCCCTCAGGCCCGAGCCCCCGCCTGCAGTGCGGTTCTTGCAGGAAAGACAGGAACAATGGCGAATTGCAGCTTTAGCTACCAAGCTTCGGGGCAAGATGCTGGTGCACGCCCCACCTTCCGTGCCTCCTTGTTTCTGTTTTTATTCTTTGTTTTCCTTTTGCCCAGGGTCAGTGTTAGCGCCGGAGTTTTGTATGTTCACTCATCCTGTTGGTTCGGTTACTCTTTCTTTTGTCCCACATGGTGTCATCTTTGGTCTGCAAGCTGGTTTCTGCGACCTTTGGCTCGTCCATCCGTCTGGGATCACTTGCTTGCTTTTGAAAATGACAAGGTGTCCAGGCTCCTCTTCACCACTGCCTTCTTCAGACCCGAGCCTGGCGTTTCTCCTTAGCAGCTTGGTTCCCGTGAATGCAAATGGTGGCTAGAGGTGAAAACCTGGGTCCTGGAGGGAGCCCTCCTGCGACTGGGAAGTTCCACCTGGGAGGACTCAGTCTGCCATTTTCTCACAACAAGACATGGAATTACCTTTTGACCCAACTCTCCCACTCCCAGCTCAGGAGAAATGAAATGAAAACTTGATGACCTCACAGAACCTGTACACAAATGTCCACAGCGACATTATTAATACCCACCTCCCCAAGTGGAGGCCATCCAGCTGTCCACCCACACATGAACAGATAAACAGAATGTGGTCTGGGCACGTCGTGGAATATTACTCAGCCATGAAAAGGAGTGAAGCACTGGCACCTGCTACAACCTGGATAAACCTGGAGAACATGATTCTGAGGGAAAGAAGCCAGACATGAAGTCCACATCACATAGGAGCCCTTTTCTAGAAATGTCCAGAATGGGCAACTCTCTAGACAGAAAATAGATGAGTGGCTTCCAAGACTAGGAGTTTAGGGGGAAATGAGGGGTGACTGGTTATGGGAAAGGGGTTTCTTTGAGAGTGATGGGAATGTTTTTAAGTTGTTGCGCAGCTCTGTGAATCTGCAAGAGCCACCGACTGTTTACCTTCCGCTCAGTAGCTCTGTGTTGAAGGTGTGACTATCAGGTCTCTGCCCTGCCCCCGGGAGAAATGTCTTTTCCAGGTTGCAGTTGAGCAGTGGGCTTTGCCTCATGTCTGGGAGGCAGTAACTGGGGGGATCTTGACCTTGGCAGCTGTGCCGGCCCCTTCCAGCAGCGGGGCACAAACCTTCCTCCATCTCAGCCGTGTTCCCTCTCCCTGACCACCTCACTTTTGTGTTTACCTCGTGGTGCTTCTGTGACTCCCCGGGCAGAGCCTTTGTGGAGGAGGCAGGTGTGCGTGCACTCACCGCTCTCCCCTGGCTGCTCACAGCTGCCCCAGCACGACTTGGACAGTCTGCGGGTGGAGATGGACGAGGTCTGGATGGTGATGCGGAAGCTGCTGATGGACGGCATCCGATTTGACCCCGACAGCGCTGCCGGCTTTAGGAAGTGAGCACCTTCCGGGCAGGGGAACTGCTCCTGGAGGCTGGGGACACCCTCCCTCCAGGGAGACGACAGGGTACCCCAGCCTGAGTGTAGGGGTGGGGGTGTGTGGCTGAGTGTACTCTTGGGCTTGGGGGGCAGCTCTGGCCTTGGTGAGAGAGGACACATCTGCTCCAAAGCCCCTTGGCCACAAATGAGGAAACTGAAGCTGAGAGAGGGAAGGGGCCCTGCAAGGCTACACGGGGAGCCTGGGCGGGTCAGGACAGGCACCCCGGGGAGAGGGCCTGGTGCACCAGGGAGGCTCTGGTCCTCAGATCACCCTCCTGGCCCTGAATATCCACCGTGAAGGGTAACTTTCCAGAAAGCTCCTGGCCTTAGGGACCTCCATTGTGTTTGGGGCCGGGAGATAAGCTACACACACTTTTATCCTCCCCCTCTGCCCTGCGGCCCCATGAGCTAGGCCGGCCTGCGGGTGCCGGTGTGGGGAGGCCCGGCCTGAGGCAGGTGGAGCCTCCGCTGAGCGCCGCTGTCCCGCAGGAAACTCTTCGAGCGCGTGAAATGCATCTCGTGCGACCGGCAGGTGGACATGATGAGCAGCCCGTGAGTGCCCGCCAGGGGGCGCGCGCGCCCCACTGCTGCCTGCGCCGCCCCTCCCGCGGGTCCTGTCCTGCGTGGGGGCCCCCCCCTCCCCTCCTCTCCCCTCCCCTCCCCTCCTCCCACCCCCCCCCCCCCCCGTGCTGTCTGCTGCCCTCTGTATCCAGGGTCGCGCTCGCCTCCTAGAGGAGGCCCCGGGGCTGAGCTGGGGGCGCACGTGCGTGCAGGTCACAGCCCGAGCTTCCATCTGCTGCGGGGGGAGACTCGGTCTGAAGCCGCCGTCCACGCGCGGCCCACCGGCGCGTCCCCACGCCCCACCCCCGCGCCTCTCCTCTCCACGCATCTGCCTGTTCTGGGCGCTCCACACCAGGGGAGTGTGGCCTCGGGGGTGCGGCACGCGGCTTGCAGGGGCGGGGTGGGGGGTCGCTGCGGGACACCCCGTGGCAGGGACAGCCTCCCCCCTTACTAGCATCTGCTTCCCGTCTTGGAGCTGCTGGGAGCTGGGAGCGTGTATGTCTGTGTTGTCACCCACCGGCGTCCAGACTTTGGGGGTGTCAACCGAGCAGTGGAGTGCTGGATTGTAGGGTGACGCTGCCTAACTTTGTGAGGCGCTGCCCAGACTGTTCTCTGCTGTGGTTAAGAACTGGGATCTTGCAGTGACCAGGCCTCTGCGGTGCTAGCCCGGCCCAGCCAAGGGACACCCCCCTGCACCCCCACCCCCCAGGCAGGGTCACCTTCAACAAGAGGCTTTGGAGCAACAGCTAGAGTTTTCCTTCAACTCACAGATATCTAGTTGCAGTGTTATTTATAATAGTTGAGGGGAGGGCCTCCCTGGTAGCGCAGGGGTTAAGTCTCGCATTATGACGCTATCTGCAGCCACTGCAGCATGGCACGGGCACGAGTTCAATCCCCGGTTAGGGAGCTGACCCCCAGGGCGCAGCAGACCTCTCCTGGCTCGCCCTCTGCTCCCCTCAGCAGTGTGTTTCAGTCAATCTGCCTGTTCTGCTCCCCACTCTGTCTCTGGTGAGTCCTTTCACACAGACCCCATCTCTGGCCTACACCCCAGTTCTTGTATGCATAAATAAAATAAATCTTAAAAAAATAGTTTAAGGGAGAAATAAAAGGAAACAACCCCAAAGTAGCAAACACGTTGTTGTACATTCCTCTGGACAGGTCACTCCTGGGAACGGAGCCTCCCGTGGGGATGGTCTGTGACGCCGTGTCTGGTCCCGCAGCCGCCGTCACTGTGGTCCCAGCACCTGCACTCTGGCCAATGCGGATTAAATTTTGTTTTAATTCAGTTCATTTAAATGTAAATTGCCCTGTTAAATGCCACGCAGGGCCAGTGCCCGTGGGGCACGTGGGGCACGTGACGACCAGGGGGAGTCTGCAGCGACTTGAGTGAGGCGAGCAAGCAGGGTGTCAGCTCCGGCCCTGCTTTTGTTGAAATATGCATAAATGCGGGGAAACCCTGGGAGGACAGGCAAGATCATTGGTCACACGGAGAAAGCTGCATTTGGGTTTCTGGGTGGTTTTCCGTGCCTTCCAAAGTGCTGCCTGTCAGCGTGTTATTACTTCAAGCTTTTGTCCTGGCTTAAACACACGCAGCCGAGGAGGTGGCTGTCCTTCACAGTATGTGACTCTTCCCCTGTGTCCACCCCTGCCCCCTCTGCACACATCGAGGTGCAGAGAGCAGCAGCCCCTCGGAAGGCTGTGTAGCTTGTCACTGAGGTCAAGTCCATGTAACACACGTGAGCCATTTTAAACCCAGCAGCTCGGCGGGCTTAGAGCATTCATGCGCGGCACAACCATCCCCGCCTCCAGCACTGGAGCGTCTGTCACCCCAGGAGGAGGCCCCATCAGCCGTCACTCCCCAGCTCCTCCCCCCAGGCCCTGGGAGCCCCCAGTCTGTCTTCATCCTGTTTCTAGAATTTCCCTATTTTGGCTTTCGCCACTGCAGTCAGCGCAACTGTCTTTTATGACTCATGGCCCTTCCCCAGGCTCCTGAGCTGTGCATGTTGGGCCCTGATGTGAACTTTCCCGGGAGAACAAGCTTGAGCCTGGGCTTCCTGGAGGAGGAGGCAGTTGCGGTCACGTGCGCCTCCCACCTGGCTTGTGTCTCCACCAGGCAACTCATCACCATCCGCAAAGCCCAGCTGCTGTCCAGGCTGCGACCGGCCAGCGCCGACAGCTATGAGTACCTGCAGCGACAGCAGATGAGGTGCACGGGCTGGGCCTCCCCAGGGCGGTCTCCGGGGTGCCTGGGAGCTGCAGAGCCAAAGCCTATCCTGAGGCCTTGCTGGCCAGCTGCAAGGGAGGCCTTCAGGGGGTGGCGGGGAGGGGGGAGTGGCGAAAGGAACCGACGGATCTGTTGGACTTCTGGTACCGGCCAGCACTGTGGGGGCGGTCATGGGCCAGTGCTGTGGGGGACAGTCTCGTGGACACTCACACCCCCACGAGCTAGGTTCGTTTCTGCGAGGAAGGAGGCCATGGCCGTGGGGCCTCCATGAGCCTTTGGCCGAGCAGGCACGGCCCCGACGGTCAGGGAAGCCAGATCCTTGTGCGTCCCTCGGAGGGGTGTGCTGGTACCACCCCTCTCACGGTTGGAGAAACGAGGCTCCCCACTGTCCCAGGCTACACTAGTATGTGGCGGGCCTGGCATCCACGCTGGCTCACTGGGCCCCAGCTGACTTCCCAGCATCCCAACAACCCAACCTCGCGGATGCTTCGGCACCCAGGTCTGGGGGGTACCACTGGCAGGTGGGCCAAACAGGAGCCACAGCCATTGAGGGGTGGGACTCGGCCTGTGCCCAAGGCCCCGCCTGCCCTTGCTGGACCCCTGGAGAAGAGGGGGTTAGTGTGTGTGGGCGGCGGGCCCAGGGTCCGGCATGGCGGGGGCCCAGGGGGACAGAAGCCCCAACTGTCCCCCTCCGGCTCCAACTCAGGGCTGCTCAGTGGCACTGGAAGCAATTCCAGCCTTCCCTCCACACTGGCCCGGCCCTCGGCCTGTCCTGAGGCTCCCCTGGGGTGGAGGGAGGGTCTCTGGTGGCTGATGACCCCCCTCCCTCCCAGGGAGCAGCAGCTGCAGCAGCTCCAGGACCTAGGAATGCAGCAGGGGGATCTGCAAATTGCTGGTCCCCTGCAGGACTGGGGCGACGGCCCTGCTGCCAACAACCACCTCAAGACCAGGTCACGTGACTTGACCACACTTTACCCCTATGGGGACCCTGAAGTGTTGGATTATGACACCGTGAGTTTGGCTGCAGCCCTGGTGGTGAGCGATTGGGGGCCGACTGGGTGGGCTCCGTGTGTGCCGGAGCTCCCTGAGCCCGGCTGGGCCGTCCAACAGGCCGAGGTGGACCTCCTGGGCGTGGATGGGATCCTGTACAAGGGCCGAATGAGTGACCAGGAGGGCACAGCTGGCGCGGAGAAGGAGCTGGCAGGTGAGGGCCCAGGCCTTCCCGCACCCCTGCCCTGGTGTCCTGGCATAACTGGGCAGCGTGGGAGGCTGCGGGAGGGCCCAGAGCCGCCACCTCTCTGACTGGGGGTCCTCACGCAGCTGCTTGCAAAAATGGGGTCCTGCTGTATGCTGGGGAGGTGACAGGGAGCAAAAACTTCTGTCCCCCGGGTCTCCACTCTAGTGGGAGAAGCAGACCATAAGCCACTCACTGGGAGGCGAGGACCCGGCATTATGGAGATGAAAACCTGGCCTGTGGGGAGCGCCCTGGGGCCGGGACAGCTGGGGAGGACGCTGGCTGAGGGAGGGGTGCCGTGGGGCCTCCCTAAAGCAGGCAGGCTGGGTGCGCTGGGGAGAGGAAGGGTGAGTGCTGCTCGGGAGGAAGGAGGGACGGGAGCGGTGAACTGGGTGGGGGCAGGTGGGACAAGCTGGTGCCAAGGCCCTGGGGTAAGTGGCAGCCAAAGTTCGGAGCCCCGAAGGATGAGGCTGTTGGCAGGAAGGGAGGCTGGCGAGGGCTCCGGCTGAGGAGGAGACATGGGCAGAGCCCAAGGCCTGTCCTCGCCGTCACGGGCGGGGCTGTTGAGCCAGGGCCCGCTGTGGGGGGGCTCCTCCCGGGGCCCCAGGACTCCGACTGACCATACAAAGGCGCCTCTTCTCTGTGGCCCCGTCGGGAGCCTCCTCCCTGGAGGAGGAGTCCCCGGCTTTGTCCCGGGCGGGAGCCGCACGCCGGGAATCCAGGAGCCACGGGAGAGAGGGCTGGGTTGAGCCGGCTGGTTCGTCCGGACCCTGCCGTGTCCCTGCGGAACTGACGCCGGAAGGGAAGGGCTCTTGCACTGGGGTGCTGGACACGGGGCTCCCCTCCCCTGGGGCTGCCGCAACAAAGGACCAGGAGGAGGGCGAGGAAGAGGAGGAGGAGGGAGGACGGGGTGGGCGGGGCAGGAGCCACCTGTGTTCCTAGAGCAGCACCAACAGGGGCTTCAGCAGCAGGGAGTGCTGGGTCCCCGCTGCACCCCGGCCCCCCGCCTCGCCGAGCGCCTTGTCCTCACCTTGGAGGGAAGCAGTGGACAGTCTTGCTGACGTGGGGAGGGATCCGGGGGGCCCGGGAGCGCTCCCGGCTGGGCATGGCACGCCTGCCAACCCCAGAACCCACGGGACACAAAGGGGATGTTCTCGGCTCAGGCTCAGGGGGCACGTCGGGCTGATGGGCGCCAGGGTGGTGCCGGGCACCTGGGTCCTTTGGGAAGCAGAGCCTGAGGCGGAGTTGGGGCCATGGCCAGCAGACCTGGCCAGTCCAGCGAGCCCAGCGGGGAGCTTCTGAACACACATGGCCGTGGCAGGACCAGGACCGGGCTCCTGGCCGTCCATGGCTGGACGGGCTCACGGGCCCTGAGCTGCAAGAGGTCGAGCTGAAGCGTGAGCTCGTGAGCTCTTCCCTTAAAGCAGACCCCCCAACTGCCCCTCCTGGGGAGGAGTCACTCCGCTAGTAACCCCTGAGCCCCACTGGCGCCAGAGGGACGCCACGGGAGACCTGCGTGGCCAACACAACTGTCACCGCCCCTGGAGCGCTCTCAGCCCCCGGGGGACAGTCGGCTGCAGTGTAATGACGAGTGACCTCCGTGAGTAACAGACACGCGCAGGGACAGACAGCGACCCGGGAGGGTCCCCTGAGAGGCAGGGGCCTGCCTGAGGGCACAGCCAAGGAAGGGCTCAGGTGCTGCCTGTGAGGGGAGCTCCATGGCCCTGAAACTGGCCCCTCACTCCAGACCTGGGTGCCCTGCGGGGGTGCCAGCGGGCCCCCCTCCCCTACGCCTCCTCGTTGTCTTCTGGCCCGCAGCGGCCCGTGGCCTGTGTGGCGGGGGCGGGGGGTGGCGCTTGGCTGGACGTGGAAAGAGGTTCAGCAGCGAAGACAGAGTCAGCTGCAAATGGCCACATCGTGTCGGGTCCCATTTCTGTGAACCGTCGAGCAGGCAGCTGGCGGGACCGAGCGGCCGCGCGAGGGGCGGGGGCTGGACGGCGACCCGCACCTGCTGCGCGTGAGCTGAACGCCGGGATGGTTCCCGCTGCTCGGCTGCTTCGGGGCAGTGAATGCCACCTTCAGCAATGCGCCTGCGCACACGCCAAGCACGGCGGCGGGCGGGCACGGTGGTGCCGAGAGTGGCCGCACGGCTGACCGGTCACCGGTCCCCAGCCCCCCACCTGCATCCTGCGGGGACGCCGGGCGACCGCCTCCCCCTTGGCCTCAAGCTTTCAGGAAGGTCCAGACTCAGGAAGGCTGGGAGGGCTGGGCCCTGAGCCGGAGGATTCCCCAGAGTCAAGTAGGCGCTGGCTGGGGGGCCCTCTGGAAGGGCCTGTCCCTGCCTGACCCCCCCTCCTGTGCCGCTAAGCCGTGAAGTTCCCGCGCCCTCCGCTGAGGAACCTGGACGACCGCTCGCGCCTCGTCTCCTCACTCGGCGTCTCCTCCTGTGAGTGCCCGTCCCTCCAGCCACGGGCTCGGCTGGCTCCCGGCAGGCCTGCCTGTCCCACCTGAGGCTCCCTTGCCTCCTCGTCCCTCTCCCACCTGCGCTGCCCCAGGCAGGCACCCAGCTCCCTGGCCGGGACCTCCAGCCGTCCCAGGCGCCTGCGTGGCCCTGCAGGGGGGCTTCCTGGCCCAGGAGCTGGCTGCAGCGCGGGGTAAGGGAGCCCATTCATCCTCCTGGCCGTCTGCCAGGGGGCCCTGGGAGCCAGGCTGGCGGCACTGAGCTGCTGCGCACCCCCGTATCTCCGGGCCCACGCGCTTTCTCCCAGATAAACGGCCTTGAGGGGAACCAGAGCTGGTCCAGAGCCGAGTCCCAGGCTCCAAGTCCTGTGTCCCCTCGGAGCATCCACTTCTGGGGCCCTTCAACTTGGTCATCCCAGGAAGGTCAAGGGGGCTGAGACGGGGGAGCCGCAGCAAAGCACTGCTGATCTTGGGCTTCTCCTTAGGAGGATGCGCTGTCGGGCCAGCCTCTCCCCAGAATGTTCTTGGGACACCTCCTTGGTCTCTCCTGCCCCTCCAGCCCTGCACCCCTACACCGGTGTCCGCTCAGCCACCTTGGGCCTACACCAGACCGTGCCGGCTCGGCCTCCGTCTCTGCCGCCCCTGACACTGCTGCCGCGGCTGCCGCCCTCCCTGCGGGACCTGCGGGACCCCCTCCTGGCCCCAGGCCCTGCCAGGCACCCCAGGCCTCTGCGCTCTGAGACCCGGACCAACATCCAGCCCACCGAGGAGCCCACTAAACTGTGAGCTCTGCGCCCCCTCCCCACCCCCAGGCTGGGCCTGAACCTGGGGCACATGTGGGGCCCTGGACACCGGACATGGGGGGTCTCCACAGGGACTCATTTGAACCTGTGGCCCTTTTAACTCTCCGCCCCCAAACACGCACGGCACAAGCGCGCCCGCCAGCTCGTCGAGACGGCAGCTTCCCAGGTTGAATTTTCTGCTGAGCCAATTTAATGCCTTGACCGACTCCCAGCACGGCACCGCTAGGGTGGTTTTGGAAGCAATCACTTGCCTTTTTATTTTGCCGAAATGATTTCACGAGGACCCGCGCCCCCCGGCTGCGGCCGGTGCCCATTTTCCTTGGAGCCATTATCTCCACCAAGACCAGTTTCCTCACGGGAGCTCGCGGGCCCGCGTGCATCCGCTCAGCTCTCCGTGCCAGCGGTTTCCACAAGGGACGGCTGTGAGGAACCGGCTATTTAAAAGTCTGATTGTTTATTTCCAGGCTGGTCCTCGGGGAGCGGGGACCGCTGTCGCCCGGGATGGGCCCCGCACGCCCGCGTGAAGTCTTTCTGGCGGCCATGCCAGGCCTTGGCGGGGCCCAAAACAGACCTAAGCTTGAAGGGTTCCCACCTGGCCATTCAGTGAGGCTCCAGGCAGAGCTGCCGGGCCCGGCACGCCGGCTTCCTTCTCCCCCTGGACCAGTCACCCCTCCCGACCCACCCCCGGCCTGTCCAGGGGTGCCTGCCGTCCTGGCACAGCTATCAAAGTTCACAAAGACTGAAAGAACATTTCACTCTGTGCAGCTTTCAGGCGTGACCCCCAACAGCCAGAGACCCCTGGGAAGACAGAATAAGGGGTTTGTTGGGAGGGAGCCGGGGCGCCGCCCTGGAGGAGCACCCCTCCCCCAGCTCCTCCCTGCCACGCCCGCAGCCCTGCTTCTCTCCTTTCTCCAAGGTGATCTGGGGGACTTACCTGTCCACGCAACCATGGGCCGAGCGCTCGGACTGCGGCCTCAGGAATATTTTTGGCAACTTCTCCACAATAAAATCTTTTGCTTTTCTGTGGATGCGGGTGCTGGGCCCCGTGTCTCCGCAGAGGGTGGCCTTGCCTGCCCCGCGGGATCAGCCTCCCAGAGCCACTGTGGCCGAGGAGCAGCAAACTCCCCTCCTCCATCACGTTGGCCTCGTGGCCAGGCTCGCTGGAGCTGCCCGGGCTGCGGGACAGGTCCGGCTTGGTGGGCAGGCCGGTCTCGGGTGCCGCCCATGTAGCGGGCTTCTCCGTACCTCTCCCTGCAGGTGGGCGGTGCGGCCAGACTGGGCATTCTGGGGAAGGGGGGATGGACCCGAGCCAGGCTGTGCTTGGACTTGCCCCTGCCCTTAGATACGCGGGCACCCGGGCCACTCTTCACCCCACACCAGTCCCCACTGGGCCCAAAGCTGCTGCCCTGGCCACTCCTCAGGTTAGAAATGACCCTGCTCGAGCAGGTGGGTCCCCACGGTGCTGCTCACACTGGGGAGGGTCATCCTGTCTCTGTGGGGGAGGGGTGGCCGGGGGGAGCCTGCCTTTGGCCTGGCCCCAAGGTGCCAGGCTGTAGCCAGCATCCTGGCTCAGGATGGTGGCGGGTGGGCTGGCAGGAGGCATACCTGCTCCGGCCCGGAGCTGCCCCAGAAGGGTGGCCTGGTCACCCCAGCAGGAAGGCCTTGGGGAGCAGGCAGAGTGTAAACTTGAGAAGGGCCTAGGTCCAGCCTCCTCGAGGGGGAGGGGCTCCCCCACTGGGAGTGAGGGGGTCTCTGCAACGTGCAGGTTTAAGGCCGAGATGAATGTGTCGTGCGGGGAGGGAGGCAGGAGGCCTGGGCTGCTATGTGAGCACACGTACCAGTTGGGCAGACGGGATGGGGCTGCCTCTTGCCAAGGCGGTGCTAGAGCGGACATGCTACGTGGTAACCACCTTCACCCCTAAACCCCCGTCAAGGAGTCACTTAGCATTTTTCCCCTTTCAAAGATACTGGCTCATTAACCGTAGGTAGGGCCACCGAGGACTGCAGACGTCGCGCCAGTAAGACCTGCTCCAGAAGGCGCCGCCAGCTGGAAAGGGGACGTTCAGGCACTGCTGCGGCCCTCCTCAGACACTGGTCAGCACGCCAGGCCCGTCACCACCACCATGGCTGGCCTGACCCCTGGTGACTCCCCACGGATCTGGGGGCTCTAAGCAGAGACCCTCTTGGTGCACACAGCCAGCAGTGGGTTCTTTCTGCTCCCCCTCCTGTCCCTGGTGGTCTCGCTGCCTGGAGAGGAGGACCGGCCAGTGTCCCCAAGGGGGAGCTGTCCCCAGAAGCAGAAGCCGCTGGCAAGGCCCTGGCTGCCCTGGCAGTGGGCCCTTGCCCTGGAGACCCTCCCTGAGAAGAGCTAAGTTCTCTTCAGGCTCACCTGAAACACACACATTCCCGGATGTAAGCTGTGGCCAAGCAACCAATGACCTTCCCTCATGCGGAGTGGAAGATGGCCTGGCCTCAACGGATCTCCCTGGCCAACCCAGGTCTCCCCAACTCCCAGGAGCAGCCTGAGTCAAAGCTCATCTGTTCCAGGTGCCAGCGACTGTGAAAAGCCCCACCCGCCTGCTCAGGCTTGAGGAACAGCACGTTCCTGAGAACCCCGGGGAAGGCCTTGGGGATGCTTGGCAGCCCTGCAGCAGCCCCTCCTCTTCCAGGGAGCACCTGGTGGGCAAACAGGCCCTTCCTTCTAAAGCTGCCAGAGGAGCCCCGCCTGCCCAGTGTTCCGGTGCTGCCCTGTGTTTCCTGGGGAGGTAGACCACGCACCTGTGGTGGCCAGGGGTGGGGGTGTCCCCACCCTGATGTCCCCTTCAGCCTGTTGTGGCCTTGGGGGAACCTGGGCCTCCTATCACACGCTCCCTACATAAGCCGGAAGGGCAGCTTTTCTTAGCCCCTGGATCATAAATGTTGCAGACAAATCGGAGCCACAAATGCCACCCAAGCACACCAGCGGCGGCAAACCAAGACCAGCGGGCCTTTCAACAGCAAGGGGCACACACCCTCTTCTTGGGGAGCCCGCCTTTCACCCCACCTGACTCAGCATGACCCCCCTCTTCAGAAGTGAGACTTGTGTGGCCCAAGACCCGCCTGGCACAACCTCGTGGATGCTGGAGCGGGGCCCAAGTCCCGCAGTCAGGCCAGACTGCAGCATGAGGCTGGCTCCCCCAGGGGCCGCAGCCCCCCCCTCCCGCCCCCGGGGTTTGCTTGTTTCCTGGTCTCACACAAGCTTAGGCTCCCCTCTAGGCTGTCTGGGCTCCTCCCACCCTTGAGGCTCACAGACCTGGGGTCCCTGCACGCCACGGGGGAAGCACTGGGAACCTGGGCCCAGCTCGCGCACCCTCCCTCTAGGCTGCTCCTGGCTCGTCTTACCTGGGGAGTGAATAAAAACCGATACCTGGGTCCCGTTCTAGAAGAGGTGCCTCAAGTACGCAGGGGACCCTTTGCTCCCTAATTTTGGGGGCCCCAAGTCTAGTGTCCCCAAAGGCCGTGTGCTGGGGTTGCCCGTAAGCTGACCTGTCGTGACCCTCTGTGAGCTTGCCCTTTCACGTGCAGTTGAGGGGTGTTCAGTTCACCAGGTGGGTCACCAACACCCTGGGACGCGTCTAGGATTCTACCACAGCACTTCTCCCCCAGGGCTCTGGGGCCTTGAGGGCCAGTCTTTACAGATCTCAAAGGAAACTCTGGGGTGAGCCCACTGTAAGAAACTTGGGGTGCAGAGCCCAGGGACATTTAGCCAGGTTTCCAGACATTTCATCACAACTTGAGGGTGCTATCACACCTCACAGGTTGGGGCCATGGCGGGACACCCCACCTGGTCAGCAGCGCCCTTGTTGGATAACCAGGCTCTACAGGAACCTCAGTCCTTCCAGCCTGAGATTACCTCGAGCTCCAGAAGAGAAACCAACCTCACCTCAGTGCAGGGCATTTCTCCACTGGGTCCCCGGGACTGCCTCTCTAGCCAGTTGGGGTGATGCTGCCGGCCTGGGGACCACACTATCTTGGGTATAGATAATTTGGGGGCTTCTAGGAGTGCAAATTAGCACACACCATCCCCTGCGGTGCTGGACCCCAATCCCATCACCTGCCGGCTGGCACTGCTCAGGTGCATCACCCCACAGCAGGTAACCCAGCCCCCCTGCAAAGCCTCCCACCACCCGAGTGGGCGTGGCACTCCCGAGAATGCCTTCCCCTCCAGAAGAATGAAGCCCCGTGACAATTCAGGAGGCCCAAACCCCACCTTTCTCATCTTGTCCTCCACCCTCTCTGGGCCCTGCTAGTTTTCAAGGTGAGGGCCAGAGATGGCAGCTCAGTGACCAGCATCAACAGCTGTCCCAGGCAGGCTGGGAGCACTCTGCCAGGCTCCGCGGTAGGGGTGAGGTGGAGCTCCGCCTGACTCGGGCATCTGCTCAGAAAGCCCAGGCTCACCAGGGATTCTGTGCAGTGTTGAGCGCACCTCCCAGCGGGAGCGGCTCTCTGGGCCACGAGCCGTCAGGCTGTCCTACATGGAGTGAGGTTGAGCGAAGCGGCAGCACAGGCCCTGACCACCCTCCTGCCCTGCTGGGGGTGCAGGCTGCTCCAGGGACCACTCCCCCAAGGTGGGCGGGCGGACTCCTCCCTTGGGGCTACAGCAGATGTCTGCCCTGGCCAGCTGGGAAGCAGCCTGGGACCTCCAGTCCATCCCGTCCCTGTGGCCTGTCTCCTTTGCCCAGGCCTGGTCCTGACTGGCCGCTAGCCCCACCGACTCTGCAGCCACACCTGCTGGCACCCAGCCCCCCAGGGGAGTGCCTGCCCCCCAGCGGCCCCACCCAAGGGCCTGAAACGGGAAGGTTGACACTTCAGTCCTTCCAGCCTGACACTACCTTGACCTCCAGAGGAGACTGGCCTCACCTCAGGCCTCGATGGTGGGAAGGCCCACTAGGAGGCCAAAATCTGACCAGCCTGGCGAGGGGGAAGGGGGGCAGATGGAGGCCGGGACGCTGGGACACCGGCCAGAAACTAACTCCACAGGAAAAGCCGCCAGCGGGCAGGGAGACCAGAGCCGATGTGGCTGCAAGGACTGAGCGGAGCGGCGCGGCCTCGCCCTCCACAGGGAAGAACTGGCAGCAAAGCTCAGGACCAGAGGCAAGACCACAGAGCCTGGTGGTGGTTTGGGACTCTTTCTTCTCCTTTGTTGGGGGGAGAAATGGGCATGGGGCACCCCGGGCACCGGGGAAGGCATGCAGGCAGCCCCAGCAGGCAGGAGCCGGGGGAGGGGAGAGTCCTGGAGTCTCCCACCATCTTTTTCTCTGCAGGGAACAGCAAGGCCGGCCGACAGGGGGCGCTAGGGAGAGGGGCAGGGCCCTGGGGAGCCGGGCGGCTGGCAAGGGGCGCGGGGGCTCACTCTAGCATGCAAAGTCCAGCTGCCCATGAACTAGGTTGCTTCTCGAAGAGCGACGTACGTATAAATACACAGACACAGCGACGCGCACATGCGACAAGGCTCTGCACTCCCGAGGGCGCGGCCCAGGCCCCGGGCGCTCCGGACAGGACGGGCCCAGTGCCCCGCGAGGCCTGTGGCCCGAGCACGAGTCCTCTGGGGAAGGTCGTCTGGTCTCTGGAGTTCATCCACCAGCACCCAGACCACCGGGCCGCGGCCACGCAAGCTGGGCGCCCAGACTGCAGCCCGGCGTCGCGCGGGAGCTCGGGCCCGGGCTCTCCTCCAGGGCTGGGGAAGAGGCTGCAACAGAGGGGGGTGCAGGGGCCCGCAGAGACGTCCTCTCCCCCGCCCCAGGGGTCCTGGCCTCCGGGAGGGGGAGGGGCCTCCCTTATCTCTCAGCCTCCATGGCCGGGTGGGCCCTCGGTTCTGAGGCGGCCTGTTGGGGGGCCAGAGGCGGCCAGTCTGACGCCGGGGAAGGGGGTGCCGGAGTCCACAGGGGCGGCTGCAGCGGCTGGTGGTGCTGTGGGCCCCCCGGGGGCGAGGCCGCAGCGGGCCAGCCGGGCGCCGCGAAGCTGCCAGAGGCCGCGTGAGGGAAGTGCGGCGGGGGCGACGTGGCCGTGGCCGCCATCGGGCTGCCGCTGTGGAAGCTCTCAGAGGCCTTGAGACGGGAGAACATGGTGAGGGCGTCGGGGAAGTTGGGGGGTGTGGCGGGGGTGTTGGCGGGAGTGCACATCTGTTGGGGGAAGAACAGAGAGGGAGGGTGAGCACCCCTTTCTGGGAGGGTCGGGCCCCCTTAAAGGAGACAGGTGCGGTGGGCGCCTGTGCCCCCTTCCACAGTGCTCTGGGCAGAGCCGCTGGGCTCAGAGAAAGTCTGGTGCCAAAAAGGTGGGGCCCTCACACTGGTGCAGGTGCACGGCCTCCCCACAGCCCCCACACCTCCGTCAGCCCCCGGGTGGGGAGCACTGTCTGCAGCCAGTGTCCGTGCTCCCCAGGTCCCCCGGATGACCCCAGGCAGCAGGGGAGCCCACCAAACCTGCGGGGCACAGGCTCAGCACCCACCTCCACCCTCTGCCGCAGGAACTCCGGGGGGCACTTACCATCTGGTGGTGGTGGTGGCTGTAGGGGATGTTGGTCTCTTGGAAAAAGGCGCTGAGGGCCGTCTGCTGGGGAAAAGGCACTGCTTAGCCTCAGGACCCAGCCTGGCCCCTCGGGACTTGGGGAGGCCTGGAGCCTGATGACCAATGGCGTGGACGGGAGTCAAGGTGGCGTGCCTGTCACCAGGACCCTTGAGGAAACTCGGCGGTGGGGGTGGGGGAGTTGAGGGGGCCTGGTAGGCAGTGACGGCCCCGAGGCTCTGCGAGCACTCCCCAGCCGTCACCATGGCCGGGAAGGGCCTTCAACAGACCTCAGCCTCCACTTTGGGAGATGCCAGCCCCGCGCTGACCAACTGGCTGGGGAGCAAGTGTCCCCGCTCCCCTTGGAGCCTCAGTGTCCCTGTCTGTGACCACCTGCCCCTCTCCTCGGCTAATCAAGAGCCCTGCCAGCCGGGGCTCAGTCTCCACAAGGAGACCACTCCAGGCAGCACAGCAGGGTCCTCGGGCACCTACTGGGGAGAGCCCTGAGTGGAGGAGGTTGGTCTGGGTTTCACACTCTGTTCGCCTAAGCTTCCCCCAGAAAGTTCCCACGGCGGCAGAGCAGGCGGGGGTCTTGGGGGTTCGAGGAGAGAGAGGGACCTCAAGGGAGGAACTCTAAAGGGGTCACCAGGAGCCCCTGAAGGAGATGCTGGCTCAGGTCATTGCAGGAGGGACTCTGAGGAAAGTCAGGGCACCCAAGGCTCTCGCCACAGCGCTAGGTGAGGGAGGGGCAAGTGTGTGAAGGGCCCTGCCCTTCAGCCAGCGCCAGCCTCAGGCTCATCTCCTACACTGCAGCCTGCTTAAACCAATGTCCTGCCTCAACACACCCCAAAACCCAGCCAGGCTCCCAGGGGGGTGGGTTTATTATTTTTTTAAAGGAAATTCAAATGAATCATTCTGGGTATTTCCTGATGGGGACACAAGAGGGGGGGGCTTGGGGGTGCTGGTCTCTTAAGGTCTCTTGATGACCCAATTCCACTTCTGGATCCCCAGGAACATACCCAACCCATCCCCCTCCTGCCTACTGCAATTCCAAAGGCTACCTGTGGGGGATCCCCACAGGTGATTCTGCTTCTGTCTATCCTTCTCCATCACGGTGAAGTCCCACCCCCTAAAACACACAGGTCCCCTCCCCCTGCAGCCTTCTGTCCCTATTAACACCTGAATCAGAGAATCTGACCAAAAAACACGGCCTCTGTCTGGGTGAGCCCTCGGCCAATGTAGGCTGCCCATCACGGTGGAGGGCACATGGGGGCAAGTTGGCTGAGAGGAACCCCTCGCTCACCCCCATGCAGAGACCTAAGATTTGGGGGTTCACAATTCATTTTCACCTTAAGAGAACCTCTCTAGGATCCCTCATTTTGCGGATGACAAAACAGACTCAGGGAGCACAGAGCTCCTATCTTTGGGGCCACCAAAACCCCCAGTGTGCAGTTTGCTCCTGCCCCTCCAGGGACAATTTCTCCCCAGGTATTTCAACCCTCATAGCTACATATTCAATTCCTGTGATCAAGTCAGCCAACTGGTGCTGCCAGAGTGACCGCTCAGCCAACGCCAGGCCCAGCGGGCAGGCAGGGCAGCTCCTCACCAGACACCTGTCTGCCCAGCCCCAGCAGGGGGGAGCCATGCATGGGGATGGAGGCTCAAGCAAGCGGCCATGAATGTGGTTTTGCAAGTTTTGCCACATCCAGTCCTTGAGACCAACGGGCTGATTAGGGAGCTTCCTGCAGGGCGGGGCTACCAGGCCTGGGGAAAGGGGGGGGTGTCACTGTTTAGAGGTCACCTCACATACCCCAGGGTTGCAGGGGGAGGGAAAGACCTGCCCAGAGTCACAGCAGCCTCCCTTCTCCAGGAGTGGGCAGCACACAGGGTCAGGGGTGCTCCATAAGACTTGAGTAGGAAGCTCCTCTGGGCGGACAGGCCACTGCCTCCCCAACTCCATCCCACCTCCAAGAAGCTGAGCCCCAGAGCCCCCGAACTTCTGGACGCCCTGCAGACCCAAACACCCTTCCTGGGAAGGCTCCCCATCAACAAACAAGGTTCTTGGGTCCCAACTGGGCCCAGATACCGGGGGCGCGCGTGCGCACAGTGAGAAGAGCGACCTCACATTCGTAAGGGGTGGAGCTCAAGGGTCTCTGGCCCGATCCCCACCCTGGGGTGTTTCCGGGTTTTGGCGTTAGGGAGGCCTAGCGGCCTCCTGGCAGCACAGACCACCGGCCCTGGCATGTATGGGTCGAGGAGGCAGGGGTGGGGGCCAGAACGGGCAGCCCCACCTCGGGCCCCGCCGGCTGAAAGCCCCGGAGCCCCGGACGCGCGGCGACCCGCGCAGGTAGACGGCCCGCGCGCACGGAAGCGCACCAGACACACCTGTGGCTCGCGGCCGGCACGCGGGCGCGCGGCGCGGGGTCCAGCACGCCTCCTCGCGTGCGCGCAGGCACCCCCGGCGAACGCGCGGCGAGCGTGGACACGGCGCACGCCCCACCCCCGCGTGGACTGCGTGTTTACACACACGCCAACATGCCCACACGTAGCGTGGCGCGTGCGTAAACACAAGCGCACATGTCCGTGGGCACGCGCGCCGCCCGCGGCCCACCGGGCACGCGGACCCTCCGGCCCCCACGGCCGGCGGCTCGGGAGTGGGGGCGGCGCGGGCCCGGCTCGGCCCAGGCCTGGGCGTGCTCCTTCCGGCCGCCGGTCCGTTCGGGCCGCGCCGCCGCCCCACCCCGGCCGTTACCCGAACAAAAGAGGGGGGTCCCCCGTCCCCCCGCCCGCGGGCCGGGGCGGGATCCCGGGGCCCCGCGCGTTTCCGCCGCCGCGTGCGCGCGCCGAGCCCGGGCAGCCGGGCCGCGACCCGCCGGACCCCGGGCCGAGCGCGCGGGCCGGCCGGCCGCCCCGGGGGGCGCGCGCACCGCACGTGTCCGCGCCGGCCGCGCCGCCACGCGGGACGGACCCCCGCCCCCGGCCCGGCCGCGCACCTCGAACTGCCAGTGGGCCGCCTGCAGCAGCTGCTTCGCCTGGTCGGCCGCGCAGCCCGCCGTCAGCACGAACTGGTTGATCATGACCTGGTGCTTGAGCTCGTCCATGTTCACGGACATGGCGCCGCCGCCCGCCGCCCGGCCGCCCGCCGCCGCGCTCCTCCGCCTCACGCGTCCACCATTAGCGAGCCGGCTCGGCTAATACAAATATTTACTGTGCGGCTCTGACTCACCAGCCGCGCCTGGCTGCCGCGGGGGCGTCTGGGACTTGTAGTCCCGCCGCTTCCGCCGCGCGCGGAGGGGGCTGCGGGGCGGCGCCGGCCTCCCGGGGTGCGAGGCGCGGGCCCGGCCCGAGGACCCCGCGCGCCCCCGGGCCCGGCCGGGCCGGCATCCTCGCTGAGCGCGCGCCCGGGGACAGGGCCTGGGGGCTGTGGCGCGCGCCGGCCACGCTCGGCCGCGGGCCCGCCCCGAGTGAATGGGTGACCGCCCCGGGGCGCCCGCCAGCCCCGGCCCCGGAGCCGCCCGGCCTCCCCAGCGCCTCAGCACAGGCTCGTGCTGCCCGCGGCGAAGCGGCTCCCCCGCGGCCTGGCGCTCGGGCAGGCACACGGTGGCCCGGGGGGGAGTCAAGGACAGGGCAGGCGCCCGGGCAGAGCGGCCAGGCCGGCCCCGCACGCGGCCCGGGGTCCGCCGGCCTCGGCGCCCCCACTTTCCCCGCAAGACCTCGTGGGCCTTGCCGGAAGCTTCGGCCTCAACGTGCGGGCGCCAGGACCGCGCGGAGCCAGTTCCGGGGCGGTCCCGAACTCCCAGTCCCAGAATGCCCCGGTTTATTTGCATCGTTCCGTTCCGAGTGACGTCAACTGAGTGAGGCCGCACCTCGGCCAATGGGTGGCCGCGGAGTGTTAGGACCTGGCCATATAAGGTAAACAAAGCTGGCTGCCCAATGAGGCGGCGGCGGGGGCGGGTGCTGGGTCGGGGTGGACGGGGGCGCGTCACGTGGCGGGCGGGGGCGGGGCGTCGCGGGCCGTGTTTACAGCCCCGCACGCGCCGCTTCCGGTGGACGGCGCGGAGCGGGCGGGCGGGCCCCGGCGGGGGCGCGGGGGCGCGGGGCGCCGGGCGGAGGTCTGGCTGTCACCCCTCGCTCTGAGCGACCTGCGCCGCTTCCTTGCGCTGCTTGGGCCCCGGCTGCACGGGTTGAGCAGCTATTTCCCGGGGCTTTACCCCGGCTCGAGCCCGCCCGGGCACCGCGGGGAGCAGAGCCTGGCCGGGGCGTGTGTCCACATCCCAAGGACACACGAATTGTGTGGGGGGGTCACTTCAGGACGCGGGCATCGTCCCCGGGGATGGGCTAAAGGTCGTTGAGGGGTTTTAATAGATCGGGTTCGCACTGGGATCACTGGATGAGTCATGTGGGGACCAGATGGTGGGAGGCAGGTCCAGCGCGGATTAGGCGATGGTCTGGTTCCAGGGGAGTCAGCGCCTTGCCCGCAGAAGTGGATTGAATGGCGGGAACCGGCCCAAACAGGGCGGGGTGGCCAGCGTTGCTGTCTCTGGACTGACCCTTTCACAGGCCCTGCTTTGCTATAGGAGGATCATGGGGACCGGTGGACAAACCTGTTAGCTCCCAGGGTTGTGCGGGAGGAAGGGTGGCTGGAGCACCCGGGTAGCCGGAAGGACAGGAATCTCCTGCAGTGGGAATGCTAAAGGGCCTCTGAGGGCTAGAGTTAGGAGCTGGACCCTTTGGCAGGAAGAGGATTCTGTCTCCAGCCAGGTGGGCGGCCCCTGAGCTCATGCAGAAGTCACTTGTCCACCTGGGGAACATGTTTGGACCTCATTTCAGCCAGTTGGATTCACTGAGGCTGTATAATTTTTTTTTGGCAAACCCTCATGGTGCCCAAAGACTTTTGCTCTTTCAAAGAACCGCCACTCGCCTTTATACAGCATTGTGTGTGAATTAATGCGGATAAAGTACTCACCACTGGGTAGGCAACCTGAAGATGATTACCGCTCCCAGAACTACGGCTGGGACAGCAAAGTGGCCAGCGGGCTGTGAGCAGGTCGTGGAGGCAGACAAGAGGGGCTGTCTGTCTTGACTCAGCCATTTAATGACTGATGTTGAGCAAGATATTCTGGCTCAGAGCTTCAATTTCCTCATGGGTAGAATCGGGGTCAGAGCAGGGAGGCAGGAGCTTTCCCAGAACTGTTGAGGGGGATGCCTGTGAGGTGCTGAGCTCACATCATTTCTAATGCCCCGGTCTGGCCTGCTCTAGGGAGCCCAAGCCCCACTTTAGACAGGACCACTGATGCTGGAATTGACAGCCCCTGACACTTGCCTGCGCCCTGTAAGCTAGCAGGGTGTGTTTCTGAGGGAGGCGCCGACTTGGCAGGGCCCAGTGGGGGCTTTTCTTGCTCTAGGGGGAAGGATGTACCTTTATTCCTCCCCACCCTCTGACAGGTACCACGCTGGTACCTGCCCAGACTTGCCCAACCCAGAAGAAGCTCCTCTAGATTCCGTGGCTGGCTGAGGTGGGTCAGAGGGGACAGGCAGGGGCAGAAGTCACCTGCTGTCCCACAGGGCTGGGTGATTTATTTTCCCCAGGGCAGCAGGGAAAGGAAAAAAACAACCTTGTTTTCAGCCAGGATCAGTCTGACTGGAGAGTGGACTTTGGATTTCCTAGCAGGTTCTCATGGACAGAACCAGTACACAGGGGGAGGGAGGAAATGCTGTGTTTGGCATTATCCTCATCTTACCTGAGGTCCTGAGAGAGGGACAGCCTAGGAGTCTGCAACCCCGGAATCTCTGGGACCTCTTGCCTCATCCCCATCCCCTTTTAATAACGCTACAGATGTTGCGTGTTTATCAGACAACTGCTGGGGGCACAAGAAAGAACAGATGAGGCTCCTGCCCCCTCAGGAGACACAAGAAGTCTAGACTTGAGGGACTTACATGAGGAGGCTGCGAACTGTTCCTCGGGTCTTTGTGTTCCAAAGGCCCTAGTGCTGGCTGACTGACGGAGCTAGAGATCTGACCATGGCCTCTTGCTGCCTCAGGGCCTTTGAACATGCTCTCCTGGAATCTGCATTAGCCTTCCCCCTGAGAGTTTGCCTGGTTGGCAGCATTTCAAGTCCTGACTTAATGTCACCTGCCCTGAGAAGCCGTCTCAGGAGTTGTTCCTATCATTTCATTGCACCTCAGGCCAGTCCCCACTACATTTTGAATGTATTTATTTGGTAACCTTTCTAGTGTCGGTTTCCTCCCTAGCCTGCATGCCCTGTGTCTGGCCTTCCACCCTGTTGGGCTGGTTGCTTAGCTCATTGCCTGTCACATAGTAGCTGCATGATAAATATTTGCTGAATAAATAAATGAACCAGGCAAGTTGTTTATACTAGAACTAGTACAGAATCAGAAGGGCTTGCCTCCCAGTAGGGCACGGAGAAGACTAGACCTTAATTCCAAAGCTCTATTACGAGGAATGTTTAATTAATCAACTATCAAGCCTGTGGGAACCACTGCCCCGACCCAGGAGCCATAGGGAGGACACACTCTTAGGGTTGTTTCAGTGGAAATAGCAAGGTCTCCTCAGTACTTGTCCCCCTCCCCCCAAACAGGGAGGATGGTTAATTGAATGCAGTGTTAGGATGTGTTATGTATGTAGCTATACAAGTGTTATGTGAGTCAACAGAAAGACATTTAAAGTAAGAAAAGAAAGATCACAGAGGGTGGGGGTGTCTTCAGGCTCACCTGGGGGCAGGAGGAAAGCTGGCACACTGCCACAGTCCCTTCTCCAGGGCAGCAGGGAGTGTGCAGTAAGAGGAATGAGCGGCTTGTCCAGATTCCAGCTTACCACTTACCTACCGCACAACCTGCCTGGGGTACTTCACCCCTCCCAGCCTTACTTCCCTCTTCTGTAAATTGGAAATGAAAACAAAAGCTACATCATAAGTTTATTTATTTTTTTTTTTATTTTATTTTTTTTAAACATTTATTTATTTATTTATACAAGCACTGGGTACAGTCAGAAGCGCGGGAGGGCGAGAGAATTCACCAGAGCCAGAACTGGGAGCAGAGCAGGCAGAAGGACCGAAGGACACTGCTGAGGGGAGCAGCGGGCGGCAGGAGAGGTCTGCGCGCCATGTGGGACCCTCCTCCGGTGGCCGGGGAGCAGCCGGGGATCGAACCGGCGCTGCAGAGGCTGCGGGCAGCTTCACAACCCAGCGCTCAACCGCTGCACCACCAGGGGAGGCCCAACATCATAAGTTTAAATGAGAATATTGCAAAGCCCTCAGGCAATGTCCAGCCTGTAGTCGGTGCTCAGTAATTAGGGGCTTTGGCTGTGGGGCCGAGGGATTTAATCAGGATTCCCCAAGACTTGGTCTTTGGCCATGAATAAAGAAACACTTTATTCCTTTTGGCTTCCCAGCTCCCCAACAAGAGGGAGGTTGTACCCTGAGTTCTGCCCTCTGGGAAGGCGCAGAACTCATTTCAATCTGCGCTGAGCCACATTCGGGATTCGGGGCTCAGGCGGCGGCTTCACGGCCTGTGAGGGCTTCGTCCTGGCCCTGCCGACGGGCTCCGGTCCCGCCGGGCCACCCCTCCTCACTGCCTCAGCTCCTGCATCTGCAAAATGGGGAGCGGGCGGCTGCCTCTGTGGGCGGGCTGTGAAATGGAGTCTTGAAGCGAGAGGCCGTGAGCTCTGGAAACAGCCACCACGCAAGCGCTGGGCCTCCAGGAGCGCCGCCCCAGGTAGCGCGGGCGCAGGCGCCGGGGCGCCCTCTGCTGGCGGGGCACGAGATAAGCCCTGGGCATGGGGGGAGCCGCGGCGGCTCCGAGAGAGATTTCGGAGCGGGGGTCGATGGCAGGCGCCGGGGCCCCGGAGGGCCTGTGCGTGGACACGCTGCCAGGACACCGAAGCGCCAGGGCGTTGGCGCGGTGCTCGGACGCCGACGGCAGAGCGACGCGGCGCGGCCGTCGACGCCCCCCGTGCTGGGTGCTTTGGTTTGTCCGCGGCGCCTGTCAACAATCTCGGCGGCCCGGCGAGGTGCTCCCTGGGACATGTAGTTCCGAGGCGGGCTGCCCGCGCCGGCGCCCGGCGGCCTCGGCGGCCGGGGACTCCATTTCCCGAGGAGCCCCGGGCCGGGGGCGGAGGGCCGCCGTGGCGTCGGGCCGCGGGCCGAGCCGGGGGTGGGGGCTGGAGCCGAGGCGCCCGTGGCCGTGGGCAGCGTCCGCGCGGCCTGGTCCGACCATGTCCGCGTGAGGACATCGCCGCCGCCGCCGCCCCTGCCGCCCGGCCCGGCCCGGCCCGGCCGCCGCGCACCATGGGCTCCATCCTGAGCCGCCGCATCGCGGGCGTGGAGGACATCGACATCCAGGCCAACTCGGCCTATCGCTACCCCCCGAAGTCCGGTGAGCGCGCGGCCGGGCGCGGGCGGGGCGGGCGCGGGGCCGCCGCGGAGGCCGGGGCGGGGGCTGCGCTCGGGCCTCCGGGCCGGAAGCCCCGCGCGCCGGGGCCGCGACCCCGGGTGTGGGTGTGGGCGGCGCCGGGGCCCGGGCCGGCCGCCTCGGACGGCTGCTGACCTTGGGTCGGCCCGGCCCGCCCGACGGCGCCGGGGAGACTCAGGAGCGAGCTCCGGGGCCGGCTGCGCTCGGGGCGCGACGCGGGCCACTTAGCACCGAGCCCGGCGCGTCGCTTGTGCTTACAAAGTGGTCATTGTGAGGGTTGACATCACCCGGCCGCCGATTTTAGCAGCCGTTGCTGGCCAGGAGTGGAGTCTGGGCGGTGCTTCTGGACACTCGTTCCTGCAGACAGAAACTCAGGGACCCTGTGCCCGGGCGCGTGGCAGGGGGTGGGCTGGGAAGTGGGCGGGAAACGTCGGTGGGTGATTGTGCATTGGGGAGCGGCTGGAAGACGGGAGACTCGTTGA